CAGTGCAGGCAGAGGTTTTTATAAGGAGTCAGAGGGAAAGAAGAACAAAAAGATCAAGGGAGGGGCTTGAAAAGTTCTTGATGTGCAGATGAGAACAGTCTATTCTGATTGTCTGGTGATTATCCAACATGAGTCATCCTGGCTCCATGGTTGGAGGTCAGCAAATTTCCCAAAGCTGGGGTATCTGAAGGTCAAAATCTGTATCTTTCGAAGTTAGTTCTTAGGATTCTTATACAGTCATGCTGTTTATCTACAAGCTACATATCAGAGTCAGCATTTACAGAAACAATGTCAAAAGAATGATGGGGTGGGTTACAATTTCCCACTGTTACAATTTTCTACCATTACATCATTGATAATGAATTTCCGTTTGGTGTGATGAAAATGCTCTAAAGTTGATCATTGTGATGGTTATACAATGGTTATACTAAAAGGCATTGATTTGTATACTTTAAATGGGTGAATTGTATGACATGTGAATTATATGTTAGTAAAGCTTTTATTAAAAAATAAAAACAGAGACTTCCGGCCAAGATGGAGGTGTAGGTAGACACACTGTGCCTCCTCACGTAACCAAAATAAGGACAACAACAACTTAGAAACAAAAACAACCAGTACCGACAGAAAATTGAACTGTATGGAAGTCCGACAACCAAGGAGTTAAAGTACACACATTCATCCAGACAGGTAGGAGGGGCGGAGTCAGATGACCAGGCAGAGGGGGGTCGCTGCAAAGTGGTAGCTGGCAGACCCCAGGCGTTTAAGGCAGTGGCTGGCAGACCCAGCGAGGCAGCGGATTGTGGAGGGGTGTGGAGCACAAGGTGGCTGGTGGAACCAGGCAGTCCCACATTCACGCGCAGATAAACTGGGAGGAAGAACTGGGGAGTGGGACAGACCTCGCAACCCGGGGTCCCAGCATGGGGAAATAAAGCCTCAAAACACTGATTGAAAACACCTGTGGGGGCTGAGGTACTGGGAGAGACTCCCAGCCTCCCAGGAGAGTTCGATAGACACACAGGGTCCTGAAATGTACACAAACCCACCCACAGGAAATCAGCACCAGAAGGGCCCAATTTGCTTGGAGAGAGTCAGAGAAGTGACTGAAATCCAGCAGAGAGCGGAGCAAGTGCCATTGCTCCCTCTGGGACCCCTGCCCCACATACAGCATCACAACTCAGCGACCTGGGTTGCCCCACCCTAGTGAAAACCTAAGGCTCCACCCCTCATTGTGTAACAGGCACATCAAGACAAAAAAAAAAATGGCCCAAACAAAAGAACAGATCAAAACTCCAGAACAAATACAACTAAGCAATGAAGAGATAGCCAACCTATCAGATGCACAGTTGAAAACACTGGTAATCAGGATGCTCACAGAATTGGTTGAATTTGGTCACAAATGAAATGAAAAAACAAAGGCTATGATAAGTGAAGTAAAGGAAAATATACAGGAAAATAAAGAAAAAAATAGTGATGGGAAGGAAACTGGGACTCAAATCAATGGAGTGGACCAGAAGGAAGAAAGAAACATCCAATCAGAAAAGAATGAAGAAACAAGAATTCAAAAAAATGAGGAGAGGCTTAGGAACCTCCAGCACATCTTTCAACGTTCCAACATCTGAATTATAGGGGTACCAGAAGGGGAAGAGGAAGAGCAACAAGTGGAAAACTTATTTGAACAAATAATAAAGAAGAACTTCCCAAATCTGGCAAAGGAAATAGACTTCCAGGAAGTCCAGGAAGCTCAGAGAGTCCTAAAGAAGTTGGACCCAAGGAGGAATACACCAAGGCACATCATAATTACATTACCCAAGATTAAAGATAAGGAGAGAATCTTAAAAGCAGCATGACAAAATGAGAGAGTTACCTACAAAGGAGTTCCCATCAGACTGTCAGCTGATTTCTCAAAAGAGACCTTGCAGGCAAGAAGGGGCTGGAATGAAGTATTTCAAGTCATGAAAGGCAAAGACCTACAACCAAGATTGCTCTATCCAGCAAAGCTTTCATTTAGAATGGAGGGCAGATAAAGTGCTTCTCAGATAAGGTCAAGTTAAAGGAGTTCATCATCACCAAGCCCTTATTATATGAAATGTTAAAGGAACTTATCTAAGAAAAAGAAGATAAAAAAAACATGTACGGTAAAATGACAGCAAACTCACAATTATTAACAAGCACACTTAACATAAAACCAAAAACAAACTAAGCAAATAACTAGAACAGGAACAGAACCACAGAAATGGAAATCACATGGAGAGTTAGCAACAGGGGAGTGGGAGGAGGAGAGAGGGTGAAAAGATACAGAGAATAAGTAGCATGAATGGTAGGCAGAGAATAGATAGGGGGAGGTTAAGAATAATATGGGAAATGTAGAAGCTAAAAAACTTATATGTATGACACATGGACATGAACTAAAGGGGAGGAATGTGGGTGGGGGGTGTGCAGGTTGGAGGGGAGTGAAGGGGAGAAAATGGGACAACTTTAAAAGCATAATCAACAAAATATATTTGAAATAAAGAAAGACAAATAAGAACAACCATTTTAAGACACTGAAAAAAATAAAAACAAAATTCAGAGGGGATAAGCATATTATACAAGGCAAGTTCCTCAAAGCTTCCAAAGGAAGTGAGATTTGAGCTGAATTTTGAAGGTGGTCAGGGAAGGACTAGGGAGAAAGTGGTTCCTGGCAGAGGGGTCAACACGGGAGTACACGGAAGTGTTAGAAAAGGTCAGTAGCAATTAATTAAGATAGTTAGGAAGAGCTGTGACTTTGAGCTTGGCAGGGGAGGGGGATGATGGGCCCATGATATATTTTTTTAATTTTTATTTATTTGTTTGTTTGTTTGTTTATCTTTAGAGGGGAAGGAGAGAGGGAGAGAAACATCAATGTATGGTTGCCTCTAGTGTGTCCCCTGCTGGGAATTGACCTGCAGGGAACTGGCTTGCAACCCAGGCATGTGCCCTGACTGGGAATTGAACTGCAATCCTCTGGTTCACAGGCCTGCACTCAATCCACTGAGCTACACCAGCCAGGGCCCATGATATTTTTTTTAAAATAATTTATAATTTTTGAACAGGTTATACATTCACGTGGCACAAAATAGAAAAGCTTTAGAAATGTGACCAATAAAACAAAAGTTTATTCCCTTCTCTGTCTCCCACTTGCCTCATGCCCCCACCCACTCACTATTGCCAATCTCTGTATGTCTTTTATGAGATATACACATACAAATAACTCTCCATATGTGTTTTAATGTAAAAGGCATTATTCCATTAACAATGTCTCATACTTTGCTTCTAATATAAGCAAAAGTCTTAGAGATCCTTCCAAATCTGTATACAGAGAACTTGTTCATTTTGTATTGGATATGTAGGATGTACTGCATTTTGTTAACCAATTTCCTGTTAATGGACACGTAGGTTGTTTCCAATTTTTCCTTCCCACAAAATTCTGCAATAAATAACCTTATACGTGTGAATTTTCACGTATGGATGAATTTACCTGTAGGTGAAACTCCTGGAAGTGGAATTGCTAATTATAGAGCTTACGCTTAAAAAAATTTATTTTTCCTCTATGCCTTTGAGTGACAGCTGCCCCTGGCACAGTCCCAGGGCAAGAATGCACCCAAGGGTTTTTCTTTCAGTACCAGCTTTAAAAAATTTTTTTCTGAGTTCAGCTTTTTATTGAATGTGTTACAAAAGAGGTTTAGTCAAAAAGACCCAAACCTGTGTCATCATCAGACTCCTCAGATTCTTCCTTCTTTGCTTCCACATTCTCCTCCCCAGCTGGGGCAGCAGTGGGGAAGCCTACGCTGCAGCTGAGGCTATCCATGTTGACACTGGCCAACAGAGCCTGTGCAGCAGGCCTGGCCTGCAAGGTTTAACATTTATACCCTTAATGAGGGCACTGATCTCACCCTCCATGACCATCACCTCCTCGCTGTGCAGGATGAGGTCTGAGAAGATGTAGGTGAGCTCCGAGACGGAGGCCATGGTGTGGGTGGGTGCTGGGCCCGCGCTGCTGGGCCCGAGCTGCTTCACGGTGCTTGTCGACAGACAAAGTGAGGGCCTTGCCCCCTGTGGCCCTAGCTTCCTAGGAGGAATCAGCACTTTACTAGCAGCTGGGGAGAGGGGCGTAAATTTTGATAGATACTGTCATGTTGCCCACAGGAGAGGTTGTGCCAATTTATTCTTTTGTTGGGAAAGACAGCCCGATTCCCCACATTTTGAGACATGTGTTTGGAAATGTCTGGGGCCAGTTCACACAGATCATTGTATGCAAGGCTAAGAAACTTGAACTTGATCCACAGTCCACTGACACCCACTGGAGGGTTTAGACACTAGATGTGGATGGGCAGGTTTGAAGTTTTTAGAGCTTATTTCCATGATAATATCAAATAAATTTTGTAGGAAATATTACTCTCTAACAGTCATGAGTGGTAACGTAATGGATCAGAGAGGGGAAAAAGTCTTCTTTAGGATTCAAGCCGTGCTGGACAGAATGTGATTATCATGTAGGCACAGTGGCCATTCTAGACAATAAGACCGGATGTGAGTGCAACCTGTTTGTTTTTTTTTTTACAATCCCATAACTCTGACTGTTCTGCTATTTTTTTTTTATCACACTCTTCCCACATGCTGATGGCTTCTAATGAAGCATTTGGCCTTCAAGGGAAATGATATGAAACCAACAGCCAGGAATTTTTTATCAGAAGCTAACAGTTGACCAGATGACAAGAGGACAGGTGATATAGCAGCTTTAGCTTGCTCTGGAAGACCATTCTGGAAATTAATTGTATTTGGAACCAGCATTAAACAAAGAGCTGGGGGAAGCAAAACTGCAGACACATTCATCCTGAGTCTTTGTTTCTCAAACAAGAGGTAGTCACTATTATTTGATGCAAAGAGAGAGGGAAAGATGGATAGCAGATGGTTGTGAAGGCACTGGCGTATGAAGGACTGAGAGCCAGCTTCATCCAGAGTCTCCAGTGGTGGGTGGTTCAAGGATGAGCTCAGCAGGCCTGGTCCTCCTGGGGCTTGCTCTCAGGTTTATGGCCGCTATTGCTAAGCCAAGGGCAGCGTTTGCTCTAAGAGCCCCAAGTGACTTTCAGAGACTCTTGCTATGAATTTGTGCTTTGGGGCTGCTCCTTCTATGATGCCCAGAACTGGTGTGAGAGGCGAGGCGGCCATTTGGTCTTTATCCATGATGAAGGCACCCAGCAGTTTCTACAGAAGCACATCTCTCAAGACAGGGGACAGTGGGTTGGGCTCACAGGGAACTCAGCTCTGAATGGAACCACAGAAGGTAGGTGGGGCTGTGATAACTGTGTTTCACGGGAGCCTGCGGCTGCTGTTCTCACCACTGTGTCCTACGCAAAGCTCCACAGAACAAATTAATATGCCCCATTCTCATGGCAAGGAAACCCTCCTCTTTGGTTGTTTGGTGGATCAAATAAAATAATTCGTGCACAGTATTTAGCACAGAATCTGGCAGAGCTGACACTCTAGAAACTTGCACTTCTTTGCACATCCCTAATAATAATATTAGCTATGAAATATTTGTTTCTTACTAAAATAATGTACAGCACTATCCTGAGCACTTCATGTCCATTATCACATGGAATCCTCATAATAACTGATAATAAAATTATCAGTTGTCCCTATTTTACAGGTGAGAAAGCTGAGTCTCAGGAAATAATTACTAAGCTATTTTCAAAGCACTTCCACACCCCCACCCTCACCCCTATGAGACCGAAGCAGGTCAAGTGCTTCACATGGCCCCATTTACATTAGATAGTCTCATTCGAATGGTTCTCCTGGGAGCTCTCACTTATCTTTTACTCTGGGAGGGCTGCTTGCCCCAACCCCAGCACAGCCAGGCGAGCCCTTCTCTATACAGCTGTAGGACCTGTCCACACCTCTATGAGAATCCCTTTGGTGTGACTTTAGTTATGTAGGTGTCTTCCTCCCAGACAACAAGCTCTTCAAGGGAAGGAACCATATCTTGCCCAAAATCACCCCCCCAACCATGCGTGTATGTATCAAAGCATGGGCAGATAAACCGTCGCATTTAATCCTTACACCTGCCCCATGAGGTAGGCACTGTGACTCTTATTTTGTGGGTGAGGAAAATGAAGCCCAGAAAGAGGGACAGGCTTGCTCCAGGTGACACATTCAGGGAGGGGAAGTGTCCTGCCATCTCATACTGCTTAGTGAAAACTTCAGGGTTTTGGAAACAAGAAACTTAGTCTGGGCTAAGCACCTAGAGAACTATACCAGAGTGGATGGAAATGCTTTAATAAAGGAGCAGATGGGCAAGCTCATTTTGGGATATTCACAGCCAATAGATGCAAATTCTGCAATGTGTCTTCAGGCAATATCTCTTGAATAGTTTCTTACTCCGTTGATGCAGCAGTATGTGGGTTTCTGCATTTTGAACGTCCATTCATATACACTTAAAGGAGTTGGGTCTATTTAAAATCTACAGGGGACAGATCTGAGCAGGCTGATATGTAACAATCTTCAATAGGTAATGTTATTTAATGTTATTTAAGAAGCGAGGGACAGGATGCTGAGTGCAATATGACGGCATCTGAGTAAGCAGATCTCAGGCACTCATGGGCGCCGATACCCGGATAAAACTCAGCCCGGAACAACTCACAAGAAACGTAACAATAATGGGAGCGGTGCAGAGGTTGGGAAAGGGAAGGTGCTTTCATTTTATGTCCTTTACACACTTAAAAAAAGTTTAACCATTTGTATGAATTTCTTTTAAAAATTAATAAATATATTTTGAGTCTTCACATTAAATGTTTTACATCTAGTGTTCTCTAGATCTCTAGTGTCCTTGAAATGCCTCTGTATCTCTCTGTCTCATACACACACACACGCACATGACACTTTTTGAGGAACATCAGGTCCAAGGCTCTGAAGGGTCCTGAAGTGAGGAAAACTGCTTCCATTTTAGCTCGGCAGTGCCCGAATACACTTGACAAAGGCCCCTTTTCTGTGTGAAATGCTCTTTAACACCAAGGCTGAAAGCACCACTTATTCAGTAAAACCACCTCGTACAGGCCCTCCATCTTGGGGTCCTGGTGTGCAGGGTGCGTTCTTACATTTGAGTGTTGGGAGATAATGCCTAGGAAATGCCCCTTTGCTGGCAGGGGAAAGGCCTTCGGCCTGTCGGCACTGATTAAGCACCAACTGCACACAAAGAGTTGAGCTGGGACAAGTCCCCTACAGAAAAAGGGTCAGAAGAACATTCCCAAGTCCTGGTGCTTGTGTTCCATTCCCTGGGCCGGGGATGTGGCTGGACACCTCCAACGTGAACTATAGCCACTGGCATGAAGTGCAGGCCTCCCCGCCCCCCACACCTGTGGCTACATCGGGAGAGACCCTTCTTCCAGGTGGGCTGCCTCAGACACCTGCACACTGCCTTCATCTGCGAGTTTGGTGAGCTGGCCTCCGCTGTGGCGTCTACTTCCTCCCCCTGCCTCTTCCTGCCTCTCTGTCTCCCTACATGCCCACCTGTCTGTGCGTGATCATGAGTCTGTCTCGGTCTCTCTCCACGTGTCTCTCTCTCGGCCTCTGTCTCTTTGCTTCTACTTCTGTCTCTGTTTCTCTGCGTGTCTCCAACTGCCCACATCTCTTTGTCTGTGTGATACTCTCCATCTTTCTCTGTCTCTGTCTGTCTCTAAATGCCTGTCTATGTGATGATCGGTCTCTCTGTATCTCACTCCACCTCTCTACTCCCATCTTCTTCCTCCCTGTCTACTTACTTGCCTACTAGTCTCGCTCGTCTCTCTGGCTTTCTTCCTCACATACCTGCGCCTAGGGGAAAACGCTCATTCACCCTCGACTCTTGCTCCCTGGTCAGCCTGGGTCTGAGCCCCCCATGACCACATCTCACCAACTCCTCACTTCCCTTCTCTTGTGCCTTTTCTAGCTGTTGCCATGGCTGACTCCCAGTGTAGACCCTGGGCACTGTGTATAGAGGCCCTGTAGGAGTGGGGTATGGCAGCACACCAGGTCTTGCCCACCAGGTGGTCACTGCAGTGGGGCCTGGTCTTGGAGCTGAACCTCCTTCTGCTCCCTGGACCCACAAGCCAAGCTTGATAGAAGCTTCTGGGCTTCCGGGATCCAGCCGCATCCACGGTTCTAAGCTCCTGGGTCCTAGGCCCTGTCCTGGGTTTGGACACTCATAGGAGCCCCCGCTCCATTCTTCCCTCCCCCAGCTTTAACTAGGTGCACATAGGCTTAACTCCCTCTGTTTGACTAGTTCTGAAAACATGGAAGCTTCTCTGGAGCCCTCCCTGGTCTGTGCATTATGCAAATTCCCTTTCTTTTTATCACAGTCCCCTTACGTCCCTGCTCCCTCTGCCACCCCAACTACAAGTCTGTCTCTCAGACTGTGTCAGCCACCAGGGTCTTGGAGCCCTGGCACGAGGAGGTCACATTATGAAGAACTAATGAGTATCAAGCAGAAGTTTCACTCCTGAGCTAGGTACTCCATGTACATTCATTCATCATAAAAGAAGACCTTCTGCCATTCTATTGTAGGCCCATTATAAAGCTAAGGAAAGTGAGGCTCAAAAAGAGTAAGCTCCTTGTCTAAGGCCATACAGCTGGGAAGTGACAGAGATGAAACCTAAGGAGGTTTGCCTATGGTCAGAGACAGAGAGACCAGAAGAAGCTACAATGCTGGCTTTGAAGATGGAGGAAGGGGCCACAGTCCAAGGGATGCAGGTGGCCTCTGGAAGCTGGACAAGGCAGGAGACAGATTCTTTCCTGTAGACTCCAGAAAGAATGCTCACACCTTATAACCTATTGAGACCCATTTCTGGACTTCTGACCTTCACAACTGTAAGATGGTAATTTTGTGCTGTGTTAAGCCACTAAGTTTGTAGTAATTTGTTACAGCAGCCACAGAAAATAAAATCACTCACTCATTCAACAAATGCTTGTTTAGCATCTATCATATACTAGGCATTGTTTTCAGAAAAGGCTCAAGTAAGGTACTTGAAATAGGTACAATAATAGTTGCTACTTTAATAGCCCATACTCTGAATGTACAAATTCATTTAATTCTCTTAATGTTCCTGTAGTACAGTAGAGACTCCCCCCTACACAGGGGAAGCAGAGAGAAGCCAAGTAACTTGCAGAGGGTCACAAAGTCACTGAGTGGCTGCGCTGGCGCTGCCCCCGGGCAGTCTGGCTCCAGAGCCACTCTCACCCATGCTGAGGCAGCTTCCACTGGGTCCTTGCCTCTCACAGTCCTGACCCCTGAGACTCTTCCACTTCCCACCAACCAGGAACTTGCCCATCCATGACCATAAGCTTCCTAAGTGTCAGCTTACCCCTTACAGGTGTTGGGCAGAGTCTGGCCTGTGAGGGCCTCAATGCCATCATGAACTGCGGCTCAGGGAGGCCATCCAGATCCAGGATGCCTTCTATGGTGACCGCACTCCACATTATTGCCCCCAGGAGGCTGGGCACCCCACGGACCTGGAGGAGCAATGCAGCCGGCTCAGTGCAAAGGACCAAGTGGCAGGGAGGGCCCAAGGGCTTCAAGGCTCTGGCTGTGAGCTCGGCACAGCTCCTGGTGTCCTGCGCCCAGCAAAGGGCTTTGGAAGGCTCAAACAATCCTCATAAGTGACCTTGAGCCTCCAACACCGAAAAACCTGAGCTGGTAAGCGAGGGAGCCATGACCCACCCCTCCACGGAACCCCAGTGGGTCAGGTGGGTATTCTGCTTTCCACCCAACTTGGGTGCAAGCAATATCACTTTCTTTTTAATTCAATTTTTAAAAAATTTTGAAATACTTGAATATATAGATAGGAATAAAAAATATTTCAATGAACTCCCATAGACTCACTGCCCCCAACTTCATCAAATCTTAACATTATGCCATATTTGTTTAAGATTCCCTCATTAAAGAAACAAATATGACATTGGATACACAGCCGACGCTCCTGCAAAGCCCTCCCTGGTCTGCTCCTGTCATGAATTCAGTGTGTATTAATCACATGAGCGTTGGTTATTGCTGCCTTCTATGTATGCGACCCTGAACATTATCTAGTATTGCTCTGCAGGCTTTTAATGTTTATAAGAGTGGTATCATATTGCATGTCATTCTGCAATGTGCTATTTTTCTCTTTTCCTTCTTTATCTTATTTTTCTGCTCAAAGTGCTATCCATCTTGATACATGCCATGTGGATTTATCTGTTTTGTCTGTTGTGTGACCGTCCCACGGTTGGTGTCTTCCTCTGTTGAGAGGTGTGTGAGGGTCTTAATCCTTGCTGTTGTGAATAATGCTGAACAAATGCTCCCGGTGGCATCTCTTGTTCACACAGGCGAATTTCCCTAGGGCCTGTTTTTCTTAGATTAAATCTGCCTCTGAGCTGCCTTTGCCCCACGGCGATGATTCACTTTCAGGGAATGGGGGGCTCTCTGCACCCTCCTGAGGGCTGCAAAGGCCTCAGAAACCTCTGCCCTCTGGGACAGAGGGGAGCCCTCTCCTTTCTGCTGCAGTGACTGCTGTCAGGCCTGCAGCACCCCATGAAAGCAGGTGGCCTACTATAAGCCAAGGAGAAAATCAGGGCCATGGTACTTGTCTGTCTCTTTCCCAGGCTTCTCGGTAAATATTTAACTCACCTGCAAAAGCCGGAGGGAGAGGTATCAGTGTCGGCAGGACCGTAAAGTTCTGGCCTGGGCTCTCTACAGTCCTCCCTTCCACAGGCGCCTGGTGTTCTGGTAACCACAGGTTTCTTAAACTTGTGCACTCTTTGACAGTTCTCAGGGTGTAGACTTCAACTTGAGGCCATTTGACTAGATGCCATTGGACCAGTGGTTCTCAAAGTGGGGTCCCTGGGCCAGCAGTGTTAACATGACCCAGGAGCTTGTTAGAAAAGCAAATTCTGAGACTTCCGCCAAGATGGAGACGTAGGTGGAGGAACCACCTTGCCTCTGTGCACAACCAAATCTAAGAACAACTATTTTTAACAGCAGTCACAACCAAGCCACACGGAAAATCGACAATACGGAGTCCAAAGGACAACTAGATACTTAGCTGGACCGGTATGAGGAGCGAAGCCAGCAGCGGAACAGGTTAGCAAGAAAAAATTCCCGGGCGGTACGTGGTGAGCGCGCGAGCAGCCGAAAGCGCGGATCAAGAGTGAGCTAGCTGCCGGAGCGCACAGGGAAGAGGCGCAGCGGGCTGTCTGCAGTGGGTCGCGCATCTGCGTGCGGAGAAACCAGTGAGAAGGGAAGCCTGCTCGGGGCAGCAGGCTCGCACAATTCCGATCGGATAAACAAGCCTGAGGCGTGTGGCGTGACTGAGGCGGGCTGGGCTAGCGGAGAGGACCGCCATTGCTCCCTCTCTGACCACGCCCCCACACACAGCGTCACAAACCAGCGACCTGGGTCTCCCCGTCCTGGTAAACAACTAAGGCTTCGCTCTGTTTACTTAACAGCACGAATAGACCAAAAATGGCTCTAGGACAACTCAGAGCCCCAGAACCGATAGATCTAAGCGATGAAGAAATAGCCAGTCTTTCAGATGCACAGTTCAAAACACTGGTTATCAGGATCCTTACAGAACTGGTTGATTTTAGTCACAAATTAGAGAAACATATGGAAGCTAAACTAATTGAAATGAAGGGAAATACACAGGAAACCAATAGTAATGGAAAGAAAATTGGGACTCAAACCAAGGGAGTGGACCAGAAGGAAGAAAAAAAATGATCAAACAGAAAAGAATGAAGAAATAAGAATTCAGAAAAATGAAGAGAAGCTTAGGAACCTCCAGGACATCTTTAAACGCTCCAACATCCGAATTATAGGGGTACCAGAAGGGGGAAAGGCACAGCCACCAGTGGAAAACTTATTTGAACAAATAATAAAGGAGAATTTCCCCAATCTGGCAAAGGAAATAGATTTCCAGGAAATCCAGGAAGCTCAGAGAGTCCCAAAAAAGTTGGACCCAAGAAGGGACACACCAAGGCACATCATAATTATATTAGCCAAGATTAAAATGAAGGAGAGAATCCTAGAAGCAGCAAGAGCTAAGGGGACAGTCACCTACAAAGGAGTTCCCATCAGACTGTCAGCTGATTTCTCAGAAAAGACCTTACAGGCAAGAAGGGGCTGGAAAGAGGTATTCCAAGTCATGAAAACCAAAGATCTACAACCAAGATTGCTCTACCCAGCAAAGTTTTCATTTAGAATGGAAGGACAGATAAAGTGCTTCTCAGATAAGACCAAATTCAAGGAGTTCATCATCACCAAGCCCTTATTCTATGAAATGTTAAAGGGACTTACCTAAGAAAAAGAAGATAAAAAACATGAACAGTGAAAGGACAGCAAACTCACAGTTATTAAGAACCACACCTAAAACAAAAGCAAACTAAGAGGACAGCTAGATCAGGAGCAGAACCATAGAAATGAAGATCTCATGGAGGGTTAGCAACAGGGGAGTGGGAGGAGGGGAAGGGGGGAGAAAGTACAGAAAATAAGTAGCATAGACAGTAGATAGAAAATAGATAGGGGGAGGGTAAGAATAGCAGGGGAAATACAGAATCTAAAGAATTTGAGACACGTGTTCATGAACTAAAGGGGGAAATGGTGGGGGAGGGGTATGCAGGGTGGAGGGGAATGGAGGGGGGGAATAGAGCAACTGTAATGGCATAATCAATAAAAAAAGTTAAAAAAAAAAAGAAAAGCAAATTCTCAAGTTGCCCCCCACATCTATTGGATCACAAGCCCTCCAGGGAATTCTGGTGTGATTTCAGGTTTGAGAACCACTGGGCTGGACCCTGAGCTACTTGAGGATAGGAATCCTACTTCTCTCTCCCCCAGTACCTAGAACAGTGCCTAGTCTTCAGGAGACACCAGTTGATATCTGTTGGGCAGATGGTGGGTAGACGAATGAACATGCGGCCATTCATCTCTGTCTGAACCTATCCCTTTAGGTCCTTCACACTGTTCCTACTGCTGGGATATGGGCGCTTCCCAGGACAGTGCCAGGGGCTGCAGGCATGCCAAGTGACGGCAAATGGGACCTTCTTTGGAGATCTGTGTCCCACCCAGGGCAGCTACCTGTGGGTACAGTATGAGTGTCGGGAAGGTGAGTCCCCAGCTGGCCTGGTGTGGGAATTCCCTCCTCATCTCTGTGCCTGGTGCAGCCCCCCTCAGAGCAGATGGAGCATCCACCCCTAGGGGCTGATCTACTACTAAGAGGCTTCCTAACCTAAAACTGCTCCGCCCAGCTTAGCCTGGGGATAAAGCATTTGAAGGCCCTGTTGCAGCAATGAGCTGTCAAGCCAAAAGTTTAAAAATAATTTCTTTTTTAGCCCCAGGACCCTGCAATTTAAATCTCAGGGGGTGACCCAATAAACATAACTGACAAATGCAAGCTTACTTGACTGAAAAGAGTCAAAATACCTCTCCCACACACCGTAAACATTCAGCCACTGCCCCTCCCATAGGCTGCCTTTTTAATTCACACAGAGACTTTTTAAAAACACAAATCTTGAAAGCCATAAAAATAACTAACCCACATTACCACAATTTAGAAAAGTTTTATAAATCAAGAAGGAAGAATCCCTCCCTTTAGTTCTACAATCCTATTCCCCATTACCAAACCACTGGTAAAGGTGTAAAATAAATTCTTTACTGTTTTTAAACATGTTTTCATAGACATGGCTGCGTAAGAATTTATTTATGTATATTCTTATAAAAATATAATTATGCAAAATATGTTAGTTTACAACTTATTTCCTTTTCGCTTAATATATCCTGGACATCTAAGTCACTAGCTTGTATTTTTAATAACTGCATAGTGTCATCATAAGATTATGTCAAAGTTATTTAACCAGTTTCCTATTGATAAATACTTAGGTTGCTCCTGATCTTTTGCTGTGTGTCAGCAGTGCCCTCTGGTACATTCTTGTGCCTACATCTTGACATGTGCGTGGGACCATTTTTAGGGGAGAGATTTCTAGTAGTGCAAATGCTGGGTCACAGGGTACATGCTTTGAAATGTTAATAGATGTTGCCAAATTACCCTCCAAAATCACTGTATTGATTTATATTGCCGCGAACAGTCTATGGGAACACCAGTTTCCCCTACAGCTGTAAAATCACATTATGCCATTTTCCAACACATTAAATTGGTCAGAACTGCAACTTGTACTGAGGGCGAGAGTAATGGTGCAAGGAGCTCCGAAGCAAAAAGATGAGTCAGGGAACATTAGGGTCCCCAGGGGCCATCCAGCAGAGCAGAGTCGATGATGAGCACGGGAGAAGGAAAGGACCACACAGAAGAGAGGGCACAGGAAGGGGAGGGCGGCATGAATGCAGGCTTTACCAGGGATGTTATTTGCTGGACATGCTTGGGTGGAATAAGAGTGAGCAAGGCGGCCCTGGCTGGGTGGCTCAGTTAGCTGGAGCGCCACCCAGTACACTAAAAGGTTGTGGGTTTGATCCCAGGTCAGGGCACGTACCTAGGTTGCAGATTCGATTCCTGGTCTGGGCACAGATAGGAGGCAATCGATTGATGTTTCTCTCTCTCTTCCTCTAAAATCAATATATACATCCTCAGATAAAGATTTAAAAAAAAAGTGAGCAAGGTGTCTTAATTCTGTTTTCTGGGAAGAGGAGGCCCTGTGTTTTGGCGGCACCTTCCATTTGGTGGTTTTGCTAATGGACAAAGTGCCCCTTGGCTCCCCGCCTGTCCCAGCGCTGTCGTCATCAGACAGATGCAAAGCTCGGGGTGGGGGTGAGCTACGTCTGGCAACCACGGTGCAGATTCTCTGCCCCAACCTCGCCTCAAACATCCTGTCAGTTTGTGAATCAGTGCGTTCTAATCACGATCAGGTTCTGATTTGTGAAGGGAGGGACTTTACGCAGAAGTCCCCACCCCCAACTGTGCCCAGAGGGCCTAATTATATGACTTTTCCTAAGGTAGTTGACGAAAGTCCTTTTAATTTGCCTTCAGCTTTTTTTACCTTTTCCCTTCTCATTTGTGCTCAGAAAGGAAAGATCATGCTGCACAAATTAGCCCAGGGCTGTGTTAGAACCCAACAAATTCTACCCTTCATCCCACCCTCCATGCCAACATTTGAAGCTCAAAGATTTGTTCAATTTAATGTGCACTAAATGGCTTACAATGAATCATCAGCTACCTTAGCCAAGTAGATTTTCTTAAAGGTGCTTTCTTTGCCTTTTGTCTTTTTAAACACTATAAAATACATTCGGACAATCAATAAATCCTGGTTAAATAAATTATGGTACATTGTACAACTATTAAAAAGAACAGGGCAGCTCTAACTAAATTTATATAGAACAATTTCCAAGATATATTAAGTGAAAAAAAGGAAGGTGTCAAGTAATGAATATAGAATCATTTGTATAAATAGAAAAGTACATGCTTGTGAATATGTGGACATTTCTGGAAGGTGACCTGGGATATTGGTAACCGTGGTTGTCTCTGGAGAGCAGAACTGGGGGGCTTGAGTATGGCAGTGTGGGCGGCTTATACATTTCAAAGTCTGTATTGTGGTCATGTATTACCTATGAACAAAAAGTAAAATTCAAAGACCTTTAAAAAGTAAAACTAAAGATTTAAAAATTTAAAAGCCCTACCTAAAGATGCAGGACAGGTAGATAAAAGAGTCACAGGTTTTTAATTAATTAATTAATTTTTATTGATGAAAGAGAGAGGGAGAGAAAGAGAGAGAGAAACATCCACTTGTTTCCCTTAGTTACATGTTTACTAGTTGACTCTTGTACATGCCCTGATCGAGGATCGAACCTGCAACCACGGTGTTTTGGAACTATGCTCTAATTGAGCTACCTGGCTACCTGGCCAGGGTAAGAATTGTTTTTTTCGTTTTTGCTTTTTAACGATTTTATTTATTTATTTTTAGAAAGAGGGGAAGGGAAGGAAAAAGAGAAGGAGAGAAACATCAATGTGTGGTTGCCTCTCACCACCCCGCACTGGGGACCTGGCCCAGTGGGGACCAGGCATGTGCCCTGGCTGGGAATCCAACCAACGACCTTTTGGTTCGCAGGCCAGCACTCAATCCACTGAGTCACACCAGCCAGGGCCAACAGGGTTGGTTCTAAATAGGCAATTTTGCTCTGCAATGGCACACAGCCCTTTGTGTTTTCATCTGCAGGCCTGCAGCTGACGGTGTCCAATGAGAGTTTCATCTTTGACAATGTCACCATCTCCCTGACGTGGCTCCTCTCTCCTGACACTGGAAATCTGTCCTGTATAGTTAATACTGGGGATGGCCACACGTTTGATCCTTACTACATCCCCGCCCCCGGTAAGATGACTCTTTGAACCTTGAGTCAGTATGTTTCAGTCAATTTTTGCTGCATAACAAAACAATCAAAACTTACAATAATACTTATTATTTGTCATAGTTCTTTATAGTAGCCAGGTTTTCTTGTCTGGACTAGCTCAGCTGGGGATGGATGGCCTAGAAGGGCCTCATGTGTCAGCTGACAGTTAGGTACATCTGTTGCTCACACCCAACAGGCTAGCCGAGGCTCACTCCCATGGTGGCAGAAGAGTCCTTGGCAGTGAGTGAGAGCAAGGTCCAATGTGCAAACATATTTCAAGCCTCTACTTGGGTCACATTTTTTTATCCTCACCCAAGGACATGCTTATTGATTTTAGAGAGTGGGGAAAAGCGAGAGAGAAAGGGAGAGAAACACTGACATGAGAGAGAAACATCAATCATTTGCCTCTCACACATGCCCTGACCAGGAACTGAACCCACAATCTAGGCATGTGCCCAGACCAGGAATTGAACCCACAACCCTTCTGTCTATGGGATGACACTCCAACCAACTGAGTCGCACTGGCCAGGGCTACTCGTGTTACATTTTTTAATGACCCATTGGCCAAAGCAAATTTCATTGCCAAGCACAGACTCAGCAACTGGAGAAACAGACTATACCTATTGATAGAAGAAATGGCAGAGCCCAGAATAAAGGCATATACACGTGTAAATGGTAGAAACTGGTGCTCACCGGTTCCTCATTCGGAAGGCCACCTGAACAGTCCTGGAGAGCTGGGTCCTTTTGTCCTGGCTCCATGCAGAATCTCTCCTGGGTCACGTCCGAGGAGTTGGTAATAGGGTAAAGAAGACGCTCACCTGGGTACGGGAATGTTTTTTATTAGTAAGGATAATAAAAATCATAGTAGCAACATTAATTTTAGTCCAGCCAAGCAGGTTTCACCCACAACCTTGCTGGAGCTGTGCTCGTATAACCGCTTGCCATGTGAGCCACTGAGCACTTGACACGGAGCTGTTCTCAGTTGAGATGCGCTGTCAATATAAAATGCACAAGGGATTTTCAATGCTTAGTCCCCCTCTCCCAAAAAGAACGTCAAATATCTCACTGATAATTTTTATACTGATTACACATTGAAATGGTAGTACTTTGAATATATCAGGTTAAAGAAATAAATTATTAAAATTAATTTAGTCCGTTTCTTACTTTTTCAGTGTGGCTTTTAGAAAACTTAAAATCACGCGTGTGGCTCATACTGTTTGCATTGGATGGTGCAAATAATCATTATCTTGTTTTTACAAAGGAACAGTGATGTTGCCCAAGCCTTGTAGCTAGTGAATAGAAGCACTGTGCTATTGTACAGGCAGGCCAGTCTGGCCTGGCAGGGAGCTCAGGCTCTGAGCCCCCTGCTGGATTATACAGCAAACAGCATCCGGGCCTGAGGGCATTGTACCGCTCCCCGCACATCCTCCAGGAGACAGTATCCTCCCCAACCTGTAGTAGCCAAACCCAATCCCTAACATTTCAAAGTCCCATTTGGGCTGTGTAAGCTGCAGTCTGCCCTGCTGGGTGCCCCAGACTGTTTCGGAAAATCCAGATCCTCTTTGGATTCTGGGGCTCCTTACAGGGACCCCCAATACAATATGGATCCCCTGAGAAATCATGGAGGCCTCTAAGCCTTTCTTCTAACCCCAAGCATCTCCATTTCTACCCTGTGGGACCAAGAGGTTCTAGCTCCATGGGTGCTGGCATTCCCAAAAGCACTGGGTGGTGCGAGGCAAACAGGGGGCTCGCCCTGTCCACAGCCCAAGTCTGCTCCAGTGAGTGCGGGTCTCAGATTCAACAGTGCTCTGAGGTCTCAGGCACTGTGTCGAACAAAACAGTGCCTAGAACCTGGGGTTTCTAACACCAGGCACTGCTGGTACATTGAACCTGGAAATTACCCCGGGTCTTGGGTTCCTGTTTCCTTCACTGTCACAGTGATGGTTGCCTTGATTGGAGTAAAATGAGAAATTACACGTGAAGATGCTTTGGGAAGTAAATGTTTAAGTCATACAAATACCTATGGCACCATTCTTCAGGTTTCTTCCCATTTGCCACCGTTTCATTAATAAAACAACAAATTCTAAGTTATACAATCCTTGACCCCTGAATTTTATAGAACTGGAATTTGTCATAAGTCAAAATCCACTGTCTGTACCCCTGCTAAGACTTTCAGTTACCCAAGGACTTATTTTTAAATTAAAAAAAAAATTATTTATTGCCCTAGCTGGTGTGGCTCACTGGATTGAGTGCTGGCCTACAAACCAAAGGGTCACTGTTTTGATTCCCAGTCAGGGCACATGCCTGGGTTACAGGGCCAGGTCCCCAGTAGGGAGGGCACAAGATGCAATCACACATTGATATTTCTCTCACTCTCTCTCTTCCTTCCCTTTTGTAATAAATAAATAAATAAAATCTTTTAAAAATTATTAGTTGATTTAAGAGAGAGACATTGATTCGTTGTTCTACTCATTTATGCATTCATTATATGTGCCCGGACCAAAGATTGAACCCACAACCTTGATATATCGGGATGACATATATCCCAACTGAGCTACCTGGCCAGGGCTACTCAAGGACTTTATAGTAAATAAACAGTAGTTAAAACCTGGAGCAAACAGAACAAAATGGAAATATTTGTCAACTCTGGGTGGTGAGTCCAAGGGTGTTTGCATATTCCTCTCTGGAATTCGCTGTGTGATTACATTTTTTCATAATCTAAGACAAACAATAGTGAGCAGCGCTTCACGTTTGCAATCCTTCTGGGCATTAGCTCTAAGAAAAAGTGACTGGCATTTTTTTCCCCTTTCAAAACACATAGATGGCGATATCCTCCATGATCACCCCGCCTAATAATCCATTTCCCCTCCTTTAAAGACTTGTTAGACCTTGAAACTACCCACCACCTTCTTCTATCATTTTTATTAATATTAGAAAATATATTTCTGACACTTTCTAATCAGTATTAGCAGCCTCAGCACTCAATTTACAATATGAGCAATGGCATGAGTTTTAAGTGTACAGAAGTCCCATACTTTGTCTGGATGTCACTGGGCTCTTCTTTTACGTGTGTGTGCAGACCCCTACTTCTGCTTAACTCCTCCTTAGGCTAAGACCTAAATTGGATGCTCTATGTCCGCTGTAGATAAATAACATGAGCTGATGGGGAGAATCCAACCTCCAATAGAAACCATGTAGTAAAAGCCAAATGATTACCCCTTCAGAAGCTCCTTCTTGCCTTGCATTCCCCATGTCTCGTGTTCATTTGCATGGCAGGTTGTTTTGTTTCTACAGTTCTGAAATTGTATTATGTGCCTTGCAGAACAATTTGCATAATGAAGAAAGTTCCCATGTCCAACGTTAGGTAACTCAGCGCCACCTACTGACAGACGCGGGGATTGCCATTATTCTTCAATCCATTCAGTCACCTCCGTGCATAGCCAACCGAGTATGATGGGGTGGTGGTGGTGGTGGGGTGTCTTTCATAAAATCCCATCATTCACAAGCCAGCATAAGCCTTAGTGTGACTTAGATGTACACAGGCTGCTGGGAGGTGCAGAAGACAGAACTCCGTGGGAGATGACGGTCAGAAAGGACTGTAGAGCTGAAGTCCTTGGTGGAAGACTGTGAGCTTTCATCTCAGCTTTTTTTTAAGTTGCATCCCATTGACGTCAAGTATCAAAGCAGGGTATACAAATCAGTGAGTGACAGTCTTGAACCAATTTTTAAACATTTTATTTAAGCATAATACACATACAGGGAAGTGCACAAAAAATACAGATCAATTCATTTTTACACAGTGAACACACCCAAGCAACCAGCACCTGAATCAAGAAACAAAACATGAGTAGTCTCCCAGAAATCCCCCTGTGCACTCCAAGGATTCTAACATTATCAAATAGTGTGACCTGCATTTGAAACTTATGGAAATGAAACTGCATAAAGTATATACTCTTTTGTGTCTGATTTCAGTTCAATGGTTTGTGTTTTAAATTTTTTATTTATTGATTTTAGAGAGAGGAAGAGTGAGAGAGGGTGGGGGAGAGAGAGAGAAACATCGATTGTTGCCCCACTTATTTATGCATTCACTGGTGGATTCTTATATGTGTCCTGATGAGGAATCAAACCTGCCAGTGCTGGCTTATTGGAATGACCCTGTAACCAACTGAGTTACCTGGCCAGGGCCAATAGGGCACTTTTGAGATTTATCCATACTGTTGTGTATAACTGATTTTTTTTCTTATTGCTGTATAACATCTCATTGTGTGAACATACCTCAACTTGCCTATCCATTCTAGCATTGATAGGCATTTTGAATGGTTTACCATTTGGGGTATTACGAATAGTGAATTCATAAACAGTCTAGTGCATGCCTTTTGGTGCACATATGTACACATTTCTGTTGTGTTTATATCTAGGACTGGGATTGCACAAATCCACAGGGGCATGGCACAAGTTTTTAAGTTGTTGTCTTCCTCTCTTTGCGCTCCAAGCGTATCTCCCTTTGCTGGCAGCAGTTTCTAAAACCACTTTGTTGTCTTCTCCCTTGGGTGAGCTCACTGGGAGAGAAATCAGAGAAACAAATCCATTTCTCTGCTCTTTAGTCCTGGACAGTGTCAGCTGGTACCAGAGTTGAAAGAACATAACAAATTGCTTTCTCCAGACATATTACTGAAAAAACAAGCTGGGTTTTGCAATTCAAATCCATCGTTCACAAATCCAGAGAGTTAGCATTTTCTTGTTCTAAAATCTACATTATTTGATATTCATAATGACCACTCCAGAGTTCTTCTACTTTAGTGTTGGTTAGTAGATCTTTCTTCTATCTTTTTACTTGTAACCTACCTATACCATTATATTAAGGGGGTTTCTGGCAGACAGTATATGCTTGAGTCTTGTTTTTTTAATATCCCTATGGCATAATAATTAGTGTGCTTAAAGCATTTACAATTAATGTAATTACTGATATGATTAAACTTAGATCTGTTGTTTTGTTGTTTTCTACTTGCCTCCTCTGTTTATCCCTTGCCCCTGGTTCCTCTCCTTTCTTGACTTTTTTTTCAATTACTAAATATTTTTAATGTTCCATTTTAACTTAGTTACTGGCTTTTTTTGGTTTATCTCTTTGTATAACGTTTTAGTAGTTGCTTTGGGAATTTCAATATACATGTCTAACCTTTCACAGTCTACTTAGAGTTACTATTTTGCCATTTCAAGTAAATGTGGAACCTTACAACCACGTGGGTCCCTTTTGCCCGCCTTCCTTTATGTTATAAGTGCCACATGTAGGACATCTACATACACCAAAACCCCTTTCAACAGTCATATGTCTTTTAAAGAACTGAAGAGGAATAAAAGTCTATATAGTTACCAAGCTACTTACCATTCCTTGTGCTCTCCCTTCATTCCCGAAGTTCCAGGTTCCTCCCAGTATCATTGCCCTTCAACGGGAAAAACTTCCCTCGGCATTTCTTTTAAAGTCAATTTTCTGGCAATAAATTCTCTTACAGAATTTCTTTATTTCTGAGAATGTCTTTATTGTGCTTTAATTCCTAGGAGACTTTTTTTTTTTTGCTGGTTATAGAATTATGTGTTGAAAATTCTCCTCCTTCAACACTTTAAAGGTGCCATTCACTGTCTTCTGACCTCTGTGGTTTCTGAGGGGAAATCTACAGTCATTCAAATCACAATTTTCTCTATAGATAGTGTGTGATTTTTTTCAGGATGATGTCAAGATTATTTATCTTCGATTTTTCAGCAGTTTGATTATTATATGTATGGGTATGGTTTCCTTTAACTTTTTTCCTCTCCATGAGGGTTCATAAATGCTTCTTGAATCTTTATGTGTTTTGCCAAATTTTGGCAGTTTTCAGTTCTCATTTCTTCAAATACATTTTCTACAGCAATCTCCTTCTTCTTACTGTGCTCTAATGACACAAATATCTTCCACTCTGATATTATTACACAGATTGCTGATGCTCTGATCATTTTGAAAAATTTAATATTTTTCTCTCTGTTCTTCAGATTAGATCATTTCTCTTGCTCTAAGTTTATGGACCTTTTTCTTTCTTTATTCTGCTATTGTACCCATCCAATGAATCTTTAAATTTCAGATACTGTTTTTCATTTCTAAAACTTGCCTTTGATTCTTTGTTTTAGTTTCTGCTTCTCTGCTGAGAATGTCTATCTCTCCACTCATGTGCCCCACTTAATTTTGCCTCACAGCACATGGTAACAGTAAATAGCCAATGAAAAGTTCGTGTGGCAGTTCCTACATCCGAGTCATCTCAGAACTGACATCTATCTATTGATTATGTTTTCTCTTGAAATCTGATCTTATTTTCCTGATAAAGAATAAAGGATAAAGAATAAAGATAAAGAATGGGTGATTCTTTTTTTTTTAAAGATTTTATTTATTTATCTTTAAAGGGGAAGGGAAGGAGAGAGGAAGAGAAATATCAATGTATGGTTGCCCCTCGTGCGTCCCCCTCTGGGAACCGGCCTGCAACCCAGGCATGTGCCCGAACTGGGAATCGAACCACGATCCTTTGGTTTACAGGCCCATGCTCAATCCACTGAGCTACACCAGCCAGGGCAAGGATGGGTGATTCTTAAAGTTTTGACTTTCCTTCCCAATCTGCTCTGTTCCCTGCAGAACAAACCTGCGTCCTTGGGTAGTTTCTCTGTAATCAATGGAAGAAATAGGCTAGTGTGTGGTTACTCCATCTTGGCTGGCACCAGGAATCAGGTGTCTGTTTTCTAAGGTTTTTCACAAATATGTTCATTTGTCAATTATTTCTCAAGCACAACCCATGTGCTAGGCTCTGTGCTAGGTGCCAGGCATGTAAGAGAGAACGAGACAGACACTGAGCTAACAGCCTGGCTGGGAAGCACGACAGTGAATAAGTAAGTACGCAAGGGATGAGTGTTGGCCAGGAGAGGCAGCAAAGCTATGGCAGTAAAGGAAACCTAAGGAAGGCTTCCCAGAGAAAGTGATATTTAAGCTGAGAACCAGAGGAGGAGCATGAATATGAGCAAAGACATAGTCAAGAACTTTCCCAGCAAAGATCAGTGCACCTGCAGGCCTTGAGGTGAGCAAGAGGTGGCATGTTGTAGGACCTGAAGAAGAGGTCTCGGTGAACATATAGTTAGAGGAGAGATGGAGAGGAGGTCAGGAGGGAAGGTCATGTGCATTTCTGTAGACGATTGTAGAGATTTTGAATTAGTTCTCTTGGGAAAATAAGCAAAACAAACCCATAATTTTGACATGTTTGGAATTTGATCCATTTTACAGATGGGGAAAATGAGGCTCAGAAAGGTAGAATGGGCTATAATATTTTACAGATGAGGTAAGAAAACCCAGAGAAGGGGTTTACATGAGTCAGAGAGAATAAATGGTAGAACATGGCTCTGCAGCCAAATATTCAACTCCAGGTTGGTCAGTGCTATTGCTTCCACTCTTACCTGCTCTAGGATGTTTCATTATCATCTTTGCAAACAAGGAGAGCTTGGTTTACAGCAGCTTCTTCTTCTTTTTATCTCTGCAGAGCAGAAAAGGTGTGAGGTGGGTGACTGCATTTGTGCACACATGTGTAAATGCACGTGTGTCCATGTTCCCAACACTGCTAACATTTCTGTTTCCGGCAGTTTGTCTAGCAACTTGATTTACCAGTTCACAACATCTGGGAAATTTGCAGTGTTTGCTGAGTGCACAACTAGTGAGTGGCATGTGATGACTCAGAAGCAAGTGACAATTTGAGACAAGAGGGAGAGACTCAGTGTGACTGGGTGTTCCATTCCAGCCTGTCCAAGTCAGGAGCCAGCCCTCTCTGCTGGGCTGTCTTTGGGGACCCTATGTGGTTCAGGTGGAGCTTGATAGAGGTGAGTCTGCAAAAAAGTCAAGGTCAAGGCAGCCTTGATTTCCCCCAAATTTATCCATTCAACTGCCAGGCCTTAATAAATACTAACAGCAATCATCTACTTCGTTAGTTTTTTAACTGTTCATTTGTTTAGCAACTTATCTGTGCCAGGAAGTGATCTAAGTGCTTTACATATACTAGCCCACCCAGCATGCACTATTAGTATCTCCATTTTACAGATGAAGAAATGGAGGAAGGGTTCAAAGTCAAAGGTTCAAAGTCACAGGCTACTAAGCCAGTGAGAGCTACCAGACTTCCAAAGACTCTTATTTGCATGCCCATAGTCACATTTCAAGAACTGAACTTGTAAGACATTCCTTGTTGGGGAGAGGGGATTTGATCAGGACTGGGAATGCTACCAGCTGGGTACAGCCAGCATCGACCAACTTGGCACAATTGTGTTGCCCCAAGTTAGGGCTGATACTCAGCTGCACACACTGCTATATCTGTAGCAGATGTTATGGCTGGTGTCCATTCTCATTGGTCTCACTATCTTTTCTGATTGGTCACAGGCCATCCTAATTGTTCATCATGTCCATTTTGATTACTCATAGTGTCCATTCTGATTGGTCATAGTAACATTTCTTATTGGTCACAATGACCATTCTGACTGGTCACAGCATCCATTCTGATTGGTTACAGTGTCCATTCTGACTGGTCACAGTATCCACTCTGTCTGGTCACAGCATCCATTCTGACTGGTCACAGCATCCATTCTGATTGGTCACAGTGTCCGTTCTGATTGCTCACAGCATCTATTCCGATTTATCAGAACATCCATTCTAATTAGTTGGTGTCCACGCAGTTACAGTTGTTAAATATTTTGAATTCCACTCCTCCTTTCAGTAGATCCCCTCCCAACTAAGACCCATTGTCACCCAACCCAGCATCTGTCCTCAAGGCACAGGTTCAGTTTGAGATCTAGAGAGAGGCTTGCTCATGTAAACCGTGTGGCACAGAGCTGCACAGGTGAGCGCATGACCTCACGTGACCTCACACCACCTGAAGCCTCATTCAGAGCAGTGACTTGTAGGACCTCTAATTGGGCCTTGAGTACAGTCCTTGGGGCTCCTTTCCGTCTGGTGTGCTTGTTGGCTGAAGATGGTGGCTGCATGTTCCTGGAGAAGCTTAATATAATCCTTCATGTATTCATTCATTCTGTAAATACAATATATTGAGTCCGCGCTGTTTGCCAGGTGCGGGAAAGACAGTGGTAAACCTGAAAGTCAGGATTCCTGCTCTCTCAGGCTTACATTATCATCCTCATCATTGTGTTTTATCATCCTCATCATCATTCAGACGAGAAACATACTAGCTTAATTTCTAACGGAAAGAGTCCTAATTTGTTGGTTTATTTCATATTTTAAGAGTCAACCACAATATTTAGCATTCAGTTAGGACAACTAACCCCAGCCTGTAAGGGGGCACCATCGTGATGTGAACGCACAGTTCTGCTGGGCAGGGTTTCAGGCAGGCAGCTGCAGAAGTGGAAGGAAATAGCGTCAAGTCTTGTTCCTGCTTGAAACAAGACTTGAGGCTAATTCTCATGCATAAATATGAGCCATGCCCTTGAGATGTTCTCTTTTTAGGTTTCCTCCCCACAAAAATATCTCTGTCAAAGAGATATTTTGTTGACAAATATTAGAATAAAAATATTCTAATATTTTTATTACAAACTTTTATTTATGGGTAACATGGGCATGGTATAATTAGAATATTCAAATGAGCAGAGAGAACCCAAAACTCACGAACCCAATACTCAGAGAAAATCACCGTTAATGTTCAGGATCAGGGTATATCCTAACTTATGTCTTTATAGCTATATCTATATTCATATCTATATCCAGGATCTCACTTCAGAGCTTGGGTCTGAACTATCTTAGTATAATCAACTACGTGGTTATCACCAACATTCTTAAATGTTTCTTACCCCACCTAGAAACAGGGGTGACTTACACTGTGCTGTCAGATAACACAACCCTGGCTGAGTCTGCCGCACAGAAGGGCCTGCTCCCCTATAACCTGACCCTGGACAGAGCAGCCCTGCAACGGATGGGCCCAGGGGTGCACCACCTGGAGATCCGAACCACCAGCAACAGCACCACCTCTGCAGCTTCCACAAACGTCCCAGTCTACTTCCTGGAGCCTCTGTCAGGGCTGCAGGCCTCCTGGGCTTCTGACCACTTGGAGCTTGGACAGGACCTACCGGTCAACGTCTCAGTAGCTCATGGCATCCCAGAAGAGTTGACCTTTGAGGTAACAGGACTCAATGTGTCCTTCTCCCATAAGGAAGACAGACTTGGACGGTCATCAGGGATCTACCACGTGACAGTTCCTCTTGAAGGTACTTAGGGCTGGTGGTTCCCTTTCCAAACCTTCCTCCTCTTCCCTTCTCAACTTAGACCCAAGGGTCCTGCCAGCCAGTTTTCAGGGTGCCCTGGACACAAACATGGTTAAGAACATCCAACCTGAGTCAAAAAATAAGGCAGAGACAGATACTGTCTGCCTTCATGGAGCTTGTTGTCACTGGGGTTCTCAACTCTGGCAAGTCCAACCTTTGGGACTAGATTATTCTTTGTTGTGGGGCTGCCCTGTGCACTATGGGATGCTTAGCAGCATCTCTGGCTTCTACCCTTTAGATGCCAGTAGCACCAGCCTCCCAAAGTAATGACAACCAAAAACATCTCCAGACAATGCCAACTGTCCTCTGGGGAGTAAAATCACCCAACTGAGAACCACCGAAGGAGGGTAATGGTATTCAGATTCCTGCCATCATTTCTAGTTTGGGAAACTGCAGTCCATGCCCTTGGGAGAGAGACAGGTAAAAACTGAAGAGTGGAAAGAGGGTGGGACAGGAGATTCTGTCATGGTTCTGGCTGGAATGGAGATAAGGCAACTGACTGGCTTGGGGACAGACTGGCTGGCGCCAGCCAGGGAAGGAAAACACAGCATACATTTGCATTTAATCTGAAAAGAACAGAGTCCCTGAGGGCAGCGTGGTGAGGTCAGCAGGCAGGAACCTGAAGAGGGTCCAGGTCTCCAGCCCACCCAGGGTCCAGCCCACCGATCCCTTGTCCTGGATCTCAGAGGTGTGCAAAAAAGAGGATAATACTATGCAGGTGTGGGGCTACCACACCCTTAGCAAGGGATCCGGCAAAAGAGAAGGCAGAAAGGACAATTGGTTTATAAAGGAAAACACTGGAACTTTGCCAGATGCCAAAGGTCCAGTTTGGAACAGGAAGAAGCCAGAATGAAATGAAATAACAGTGGAAAATATACATAATACATATGCTATAGCTCAAATGCAAAATAATTTTTGTCTCCTGCAAAAATGACTCAGTAGGGGATAATAGATAAAATCTCAGCATGCCGTATGACTTTATGGCTTGCTCTTAAAAGGTAAGCAGTCTTTTTGTCCCCACAAGAAAACAGATTTGGATGAGTCCTGAGGTGAAGGGGGTGAAGCGAAGACTAAGGATCCAGGTGGGACGGGAAGGCTCTCACTGTCTGGTGCCGGCCCGGCCATGGCTGACCTAGTTCTCAGGGCCCAGCACATATTTGCAGCTGCCTCTGGGCTTTCAAGGACCCCTGCTGGGTCCCTGGGCTCCAGGGCTGGGTGTTACCTGTCCTTCAGCTGGTCACATCCTCCCCACTGCTGCTGCTTCTGGACCACCAACAGGGTAATTCTCTGTTCTCCTCATCCTCACTACCTTCTTCAGCACCCTCTCTCCCCAAGGGAAACATTTGGTCCATAGAAAATTCTTCCCCTATTCCTTGTCCTGCTACCACCCTATCACATTATTCCTCAAATGCAGAAATGCAGCCCTTAACTTTCTCCTTCTCTCCCTCTTGCTCTACCTCATGTCATAGGCCATTCCTGCAAGGGCCTGAGTAAGGAGCAAGCCCATGGGGGTTCTCAACCTCAAAGAACACATATTCAGCTTTCCAAGGGTCCCCTCTGGTAACCTCTCTGGGCTTGAGAAGAAGGTGACACCTACCACCCTTCTCCATAAGGGAGGCTGCGTAGGATACATATGTGTTAGTGCTCTTTACAAATAAATCTTAAAATCCCTTTTCTCCCCTCTCCACCCTCTCTAAAATCCTGCCAGGTCTTTGGCTCAGCTACACTCTCCTCTCTAATCTCATTGATGAGCACTACTCCTCCTTTAAACTTCTGCTCTGGCCCATGCCCCATCCCATAAACCATTTCTTTGTGCCCAGAGGTTAAAGTGACTACCCACCCAGCCTGTGCACACAATACTCCCATGCTGATTCCTACTATGACTTGGCACTGTCTTGTAGGTCTATTAAGCCATAAGGCCCTCAGGACAAGAACCATGTTTCATTCATTTATGTGTCCCCAGAGCCTTGCACCATGCCTGGCACAAAACAGGGGTTCATTAAATGCTCAGATGATGAAAGATGTGGATGCTGCCATCAGGGAACTGGAGTAGCACAAGCTGGGAGAGCTGACTCAGCGTGAATTAATCAGCTTATTACAACCTTCATAATTTTTCACCTTTTGCAGGCACCTTTCGGGTCACTGTCCCGGTGAGGAATGCCTTCTCAAACTTGAGTTTGGACATTGGAAGCATCACTGTTGCAGGCAAGGGCTTTCTGCAAGGGGGTATAAAACTCGTGACCAAGAGTCCAGGGCATTACATTTGCTTGGGATCTAGTGAGGAGCTCTTCAAAACAGGACTTGCTCTTCAGACATTAAGAATTCTCTGGTCACTCTATAGAGGCAACAATGTATGCAGTAAAATATTCAGCCATTGATACAGAATTCTAAAATATCTGAGTTTGTATTAGTTGTGATGCTTTAGGCTGCAAGTAGCAGAAAGCCCAAACTCGGTGGCTTCAAGTTTAAGGCTTTATTACCTAATATACAAAAAAGTTAGGAGATAAGTAGGGTTGGTTCAGTGGTTCAGTGTCAGCAGCAAGGACCCAAGATCAGTTTATTGTTCTGCTCTACCATCCTCAGATATTTTCCCCTGCAATCAGGAGGGCTGCTACAGTTCCAGATATCACATGTCAACCCAACATTATCCAGCAGCAGAGAACCATTTCCTTCTGTGCACCTGTTTTTATTAGTGAAAAATCTTTCCTGCTAGTCCTCAGCAATCTTCCCCTTAGGCCCATTGACCACGGTAGAGCCATGTGCCCCAGCTGTAAGGGATGCTGGCAAGAAGCAGGGGTGGGTAATGTTTGTGGTGTGGGCAGCCAACAGAGCTTGAAAGTTACCTTGAATGTGTGTGCCAAGTCTCTCTGAGTAGCAAGGGACTCAAGCAGTTCAAACAGGCTTGAGTCAAAAGGAAATTTTTGTCAACTCAGGAAGTGAAAAGTCCAGGGTCTAGGTGCAGGTGGACCCAGCCATTCAGAAATCTGCCTCTATCTCTTGGTTCTATGTCACTTCACCCTGATTCCCTCTTCCCAAGCAATAGCAAGATGGCCCCACGATTTAGTCCTTCAGCCTAAAAGGAAACAAGCACCTCTTGGATATTTCCAGCAGAAATCTTGAGGCTGTCTCTCACTGGTCCAGGCTCATGTTCCCTTGTGGACACACTGATGAGACCAGGGGGCAGTGGTACTCAGTTTGGGCAGACAAGGACCACATGTCCACCCTAAGACATGTTGTAGGGATGGGTTCACCCAAATCAAGGACTGAAAGTACAGGGGGGTATGGTTCCCCAGAGAAAATATCACCTGTAGGTGCTGTTACCAAAAGAAGGGGGCATGGAGGGGGTAAAAGTTATCAGATATCCTTTTCTACATATGGCACTTGAGGCCCAGAGAAGTTAATTGACTTTGCAAAAGTCACTCAGCTAATTCATGGCAAGATCAGAGATAACAACTGTTTTTTTATTTCCTTATCCAGGATTATTGGACCATCTTCCTACTTCAGGTTAAGAAAGTCCTCTGTGTTTCACATCTTAATTTGCTCTGTATAATTTTACAAACCTTTGAAGCTCTAGTTGTCTGAATGAGATTTCACTGGAAAAGAGTTTCCCAAAGATCAGTAGTAGCCAGATCTTCAAAGATCTAAGTCACTGGAGCCTAGCGAATCACATGGAATAACCCTAAGTTCCTATCTTAATCACTACGCTTTAGTTAGACATTAATCACATTCACATTTCAGTATCTTCACAGCATATTGATTAAACATACCCTGTCCATTTTTTTAAACTTAACACACTAACACTCTTTACAAATATAGAGATTACAAAGCAATAATATATATAGCACAGCATTTAGTCCTTCTGGAGCCTTGAGAAATAGGGATTGCTTTCAGTGTTTTTTATGGATAAGGAAGCTAAGACTCAGAAAGAATAACTAACCTGCCCAGGTCACACAGCCAGTTAGAGGCCAATAGAGGATCTGGAAACACGCCACGAGGTGCCAAGGCCAGGTGCTACCAGCTTGCCCACCTCTTCTCACTCAACATTCAGTGACGTCAGTTTGGTAGCTCTTGTGGGAATACAGATGTGGGCAAAGGTAGGTTTACAGTTGTTCATATGGAAAAAGACGTGGGTTATGATTATTATAATGGCATACTCACAATTGTAAAGCTACTTTTGCCCAGTCCTAAACACCATAGAAACTAGCAAACGCTACAAATATAAATCAGGGCTCCCCACCCCAACCTCCTCAGCTGGTAGTTAAACATTCAGAGCACACAGCTGCCTGTCTGAATCTAATTCTTGTCTTTTATCTGCACTGGCAGCTGCATTACTGAAGAGGTGTCTTTAACCCAGTGGTGAATGCAGTGGTTTTGCTTTTGACCATTTCCCTGAGACCTGAATGTCTGCTGTGTTCCCCTTAACCATTTCCAAAGACAGGCAGATCCCCTGTGGCCCTTTAGCATACCTTCTGACTGTCCTTTGGCAACTTGATAAATACCACCAAAGTTTGACATCCCTTCCCACTGTGTTCACAGCTCCTTCCAGTCTCCAAGAACCATCTGGAACGAATGCCGAGGAAAAGAACATGAGTATTTTATTAAAACACAACCTCACAAGAAAAAAATGTCCAAGCACACTCTGTTTTACTTTTCAGTTTTGGTTTTTCAGTGTACAAGGAATCACCATTATTTCTTCTTCTGGAAAAGACCCAGATGGATTGAAATTAAACAAAGCATGTTCTCTATGTTAAAAGACAACAATAATATAAGATATCTAAAATGTGAACATATCTTTTAGCCATCTTGGAAATTAAACAACAACCTTCTAAAAAATATGAATGGGTAAAAGAAAAAGATCACAAGGAAAATTTTAAAATATTTCTGCTCTGGCCAAATAGTTCAGTTGGTTGGAGTGTTGTCCCATACACCAAAAGGTTGCGGGTTCAAGGCAGTGCTCAGAGGAAAATGTGTTTCTTTTAATACTCACATTAGAAAATAGGCCCAGGTTCTTTAGTTTTCATAGCAAGACTATCTTCAACTCTTTGTTGTTGACATTGCTCATGCATCCATTTATTCCATCACAAAGACTCACATTTACAGTGTTCAAGACTTGTATTAGGGGCTGGGGATACAAAGGTGAATAAATAGACATGATCCCTACCTTCAGTGAAACTTACTGGGTGAGCCTAACAAACAAATGAGCATGTAATTAAGAATTCTGATGTGTCTATCTAGAACCAATAGGGCTCAGTGGCAGCAACTAACAGAGGGTGGTCTAGCAAATGTGATCAGACAAGGACTCTGAAGAGGTGACATTAAGTGGGGACCTGAAGATAAAACAATCAGCCCTGCTGGAAAGCAACACGACAGCTTTCTGGGTGCATGGCGCAGAGAGCTCTGAGGCCCGTGTGGAGGACGGGGAGGACGTAGGAGATTACAGAGAGATGGACAGAAGTCAGACCACATGGGGTCAGGGGCTAACGTGCCAAGGCAAGAGGACTTGGGTTTTATTATCAGGCCAAGGGAGACCACTGGGGGTTGAATGCTGCTGCCGCTGCCTCCTGTTATTCCAGGTCAAGCCCTCTGGGCACGGGCTGTTCAATAGATCCTACCAGAACTGACTCCAGGAGCACACTGAATGATCCCTCTTCCTAAAATCCACATGGTCTTCACTGTTGCCCTGCTCACTTTCACTCTTCCAACTTCCCAACAGCTCTGGGGTCCTGTCCTCTGGGGGAGCTTGCCCTGATGCCAGCTCTCTGCTTTGTAGAGGTTACAACTTGGTGCCCTCCTTAGCACCAGACACAAGAGGGAGTACGTCACTAGTCTCTCTCATTTGATCCACAGCAATCCCAGGAGTCAGACGCTATCAAACCCTCGGAGGAACAGAAGCTCTGTGAGGGTTAGATACCGGCCAGGGCCAATGATCCAGTTTGCAACCTGGCTGGCCCCAAGGCCTACATTCTTAACCTGTACCCCCTCTCCTACATTCTCATAATCTTCTGGGCTCCCTCTCCTGCAGTAGTTAGCACTTTGTGGGTTTGGGGTTTTTTTTTTTTTACTTTTTAATTTTTTTTATTTTAATTTGAGAGAGAGAGAGAGAAACATCAGCTTGTCATTCCACTTATAACCAAACACAAGTCCAATTGCCTGCTGCTTTGAAAGCCAATACTCGAGAAACAAGTGCTGATGTCAGAGGGAAGTGGCTTATTTATTCAGATGCTGGCCATCCAGAAGATGGGAGACTCATGTCTCAAAGCCCATCTCCACCTCTCAGTGTAAGCAGAGATTTCTACAAGGAGGGAAAGTGGAATCAGAACAAAGAGTTGACCCCCTGATGGGAGGGGGTTGCAAAGTTCTCTACGTGCAGATGAGCACAGTCCATTCTGATCAGGCAAGTGATAGTCCGGTGTGCATCATCCTGGCTTAGTCATCCCAGCTCATGTCATCCTGGCTCCATGGCTGAAGGCCAGTAAATCTTCCAGAGCTGGAATGCCTGAAGGCTGGAATTTGTATCTTTTGAAGTTAGTTCCTAGGAGTCTTACATAAACACACTGCTTATCTACAAGCTGCAAATGAGTCAGAGTCAGCATTTACAGAAACAATGGTCGAAAGAATGGTGGGGCGGGTTGCAATTCCCCACTGCTACACATTTATTTATGTATTCATTGGTTGTCTCCTGTATGTGCCCTGACTGGAAATCAAACCCACAAGTTTGGAGTATCAGGAAACACTCTAACCAACTGAGCTACCCAGCCAGAGTAGCACTCTGTGCTCTAATCACTGGTTTCCTTGTTTGTCTTCCCTACTATTGGGTTGGCCCAAAAGTCTGTAGGGTATTTTTCCATAAAATAAAACAGAATTTTCATTTTTACAAATAACTTTACTGATTTGGTTATTTTAAGTATGATGCCTAGCTCCCATATAGGTATAATGTTGATTGTTCTCAAATTAATGTCTCAATTTGCTCACTACCAACTTCAACTGGTCTACCCAATCATGGAGCATTAGCCAGAGAGAAATCTCCAGCTTGAAATTTCACAAATCACTTTTGACATTTTGGATCATTCACATCACCTTCTCTATACAGTACACGTATCTTTTTTTGCACTTCAGTTGCATTTTTGCCTTTCTTGAAATAATAAATCATAATATGATGAAAATGTTATGTATTTTCTTCCATCTTTAATATTAAAATGGCTACACAAAAATTCATTAATTCTGGTAAGTTTTTCTTAAATGCACATATGAAAGCTGTCACAATATGATCCAACAAAATTGTTTCAAATGAAATTAAAAACAACTAAGTGCTACTAGAGCCACCTTATGGAAAAAACCAAACGGACTTTTGTGGCCAACCCAATAACTCTAAGGACAGGGCCAGGTCTACAGTGCTGTTTGTTTAGGTATCACGCACAGGGCTTGCCTAGAGCAGGCTTTGACAGCGCAGTTGAACACACGGTGGACCCTTTGCACTGAGCCCACGTTCCAACTAACGTTACTTACTCAGTGATCTGTCCTGAGGGGAGCTGGGCAGATCAGACAGGGTCTGTCTCCATTCCACACCTTGGCACAGACAGCTCTGAGGTAGAGGGTGGGGTGCCCAGGTCTCCCACAAACCAGCTGCTTTTCCTGCAGAGAGATAAAGGGGATGTGGAGGTATACGTGGAACCTGGTCGGTACGTGGATCCTTTCACAACAGTGACTCTGGCCTGGCTGGATAAGTGATGAGGATTTACACTTCCAGTGGTCATGTGGTAGGTGGCCTTTGAGTTCTGGAACTCTCCTATCTTACCACGGAGTGACGGGTAGCAGTCAGCTTTGCTGTTCTTCTTCCTACCCTTTCACAACGGCATAGTCATGCCTGACATTCTGTGTACCTTGTATATGCCAGAGGTTGCACATTCCAATGGAAATGGGAGGTAGCGGTGGCAAACCAAGGAGGGGGTGGCCCTGCAGGCAGGCAACAAGGAAATGCATCATCTGTAGAGAATTTGTCCAAGCTCTTCTCTACAAATGATTAGTGGCCAGAATAAGGGTAGGGTCCTGGGGGCTTAGAGCAGGGGACCTGAGGTGGTTGGAGCGGAAGGACCCATGGATGAATTAGGCCAGTAGGTTTGAAGTCAAGAGGAAGGAGGACCAAGATCAGCTAACAGGGCTATAAGGCAGAGGCTGGATAAAATCCCAAGTAAATGGCAAGGGTTGGAAGCCAGTGGACTGGGAAGGGATTGAGAGTGCCATGTGGAGGGCAGTGAAGGGTAAAGCAGTGACTTGCCCAAGGCTTGTTTTTATTGACCATCAGGTGCCTGGTGCAAGCTGTCTGCTGCCCTCAAAGCTCAGAAAATGTCTGAGGCCTCCACGCCAGGTGCAAAGGTTTCCAGGCCTGCTCTGTACTTTCCCACATGAAGATCTGTGACATCAGGCTCTTGTTCTTGAACAAGAACCAACGAGTCGAGGTCTTCCCTGCACAAAGCATGTTTCTGGTTTCCTGCAGGTGGGACTTGGAGACACTCATGTTGAGGATGGGGCATTCCAGGCTGCAGTGTCAGAGAACATTACTGCTGCTCTTCAAGGGGAGCAGGGTCCAGAGTGGCTTTTCCAGCTGGCCAGGTCTGTGTCCTCCATGCTGGACCAGGAGTGCCAGGGGCTGGGATCCCGGCAGCCACAGAGAACAGCGCCAGACAGAAGGTACTTGAGATGAGCACTTTTATGCCTTCTTCTGGGGCCCCCGTGGTCTGTATGTAGCTATTCGGGGTGGGGAGCAGTGTTCAGGGGTCTGTGAAGAAGCCTTTGGTGTCTCCTAAGCTGTTGACATTATTACCTCGTTCTTTTGGTCCTTTCAGTAAGTGACAGAAAACTAAGGCTGTCTCTGCTCAGCCTCATGGAGTCATGGGCTCCTAGGGTGGGAAGGGACTTGGAGTATCGCTACAGTCCTTCCTATTGAAGATGATGATACTGAGGCTAGAGGGGGAAAAAGACCTGGTTTCAGTCACAAGGTTAATGGCTTGGAGTTGGACTTAGATGCTGTCCTAACTCTGTCACCATATATATTATCACAAGCTGGTGACTGAACCTCCCTAAGCCCCAGTTTCCCACATCTGGAAAATGGAGATAATAGTATTTTCCTAATAAGGTCATAGTGAGAGTGAAATAATAATTAAATTCACTGTAACTATAGGTCGAACCATATGAAATTGCCCACATCCAATCACTTTTAATCCACCAAATGGCCACTCCATGTGTTATAAACTGTTATAAATAACTACTGCAGAACGTATGATTACTTCCGCTCCCAGTGCATGGTACGTGAATATGAATATGCACTCGCAGGCACGCAACATGTCTGCACCACACACAGCATCACGCATACCTGCTGGGCAGGGAGGAGGGAAGAAAGACTTCTCTGGTTCCCTGAAAGGTTTTCATGAAAGTACTGGGCACAGTGCAGGAAACACAGTAAGAACTTTTAATGCAAAGGAGTGGTGGTTGTCAAAGTAATTAAGTATGGAGAAGTAACAATCATTTTTTGAGCACACATTATGTGCTGTCAGGCCCTGAATTAGGGCTTTAAGGGTGTGTAAACCCCATTAAAACCCCACAAAGTAAATGGCCAGGTCCCCATTTATGTTACAGAAGAAGAGACAGGGTAAGAATTTTAGTAGCTTGCCCAGGTCCCCGTTTCTAGTAGGTGGCGAAGATGGTTCACACCCAGGTTGGCTTTTCCCCCATCCACCTCCAGCCCTCCCAGCCCTCTCTCCCAGCCCTTGGCTTCACATTAGAGCCCCCATATACAGACATACCCCCACCTGGTTCTTGGTTGCATTCACTCAGAGCATTACCTGTGATGCATTTCCCTTTGGATGTCCTTTGTTTGCTGAGCACACAGATGACACAGGACAGCAGCAGCTCCACCTGAAGTGACGAGAACCCAAAGGGGGCCGCTGTGTGTGAAGAGGGCTGCCTGGTAGGAGCAGTGGCTTTTGAAGAATGAAGCAGTCAACCCACAGTGACCTGACAGGGAGGACACTGGGACAATAACTTCCAGCTCTTTTTCTTCCTGCCCCTCATTCTCCCGCCGAATAAATCCATCGGCCAGAGGATCAGGGGCCAGTGACATCTCCATGTAGACCACCTCCAAGACGGTGACAAGGACGGTGCCTACACAGGCAAGCACAAAACTGATCATTTTCTGAGTTTCCCTTCCAGAACATTCTAACAAGAGTCCCCTTGTATACTGGCCTGTTCTTTCCTCTATCCAAGCCTGTATACACCCTGAGCTAATGGCAGACACACAACAATCTGCAGCTGCCATGAAAAACTGCTTGATGGTTAGACTGAGCAAACTGTGACTAGCCGACTGTGAGAAGGGTTGTTCATTTGCATCTGTGCTGTCCCAAGTGGTTTCCACTAGCCATGTCCAGCTACTTACATTTGAGTTAAAATGAAATAGCCCTGGCTGGGCAGCTGAGTTGGTTAGAGCATTATCCCAATGCTCCAGGTTGGACATTCCACCTCTGGTCAGGGCACATACAAGAATCAACAAATGAATGCATGAATACGTGGAATAAGTTGATAGGTTTTTTTCCCTGTCTCTCTCCCTACCTTTCTCTCTCAAATCAGTAAATAAAAATCATAATAAATTAAATGAAAATTAACAAAGTTAAAAATTCAGTTCTCTAGTGGTACTGGCCACATTCCAAAGGCTTAACCATCACATTTGGTGAGTGGCTACTTCATTGGACAACACATTAAAGATGTTTCCTTCAATGCAGAGAGTTCTGTGGGGCAGTGCTGAAATAATATTCTTAGTTTGTCTGTGCTGCTGCCAAAGCCAGCCCCTGTCCAGCCCCTCAGTAGGGCTTTGTGGCTTAGAAAGCACATTCCTCAGAAGCCCCTGAAGGCTTAGGGTGGGAGTCAGTGGATGAGGAGGAGGCATCCTTGTCCCCAATCTCTCCAAAGGCACGCAGGGACCCCAGCCTGCCACAAGATCTGCCATCCGCACTGGGCGGGCAAAGCAATGTGATTTCTGAATACCATGCCATTCTGGTCACAAGTGCCACCCTGAGATGTGACTTGTTTTGAAATGATGCCAAAAGTTTTATGGATTTAATTTGAAGATTTGGGGAAAACTGAAACATTCTGTATTAGTGTCCTATGGCTGCTGTAACAAATTACCACAAATTTAGTGGCTTGAAACAACACAAATGTATTATCTCACAGTGCCGGAGGCCAGAAGTTTGAGAGGAGTCTCACTGGGCTGTGGTCAAGGTGTTGGCAGAGCTGTGTACTGTCTGGAGGCCTAGGGAAGAATCCACCCTTTGTATTTTCCAGCTTCTACAAGTTGCCTAGGTTCCTCTCACCATCTTCAAAGCCAAAAGCTTAGTGACTTCAAATCCTGCCCCTACTCCCTTCCCCTCCTTTCTTCTCTTTCCCCTCTCCCTCTCCACCACTCCTGCCTCCATCGACTCTGACTCTCCTCCCTCCCTCTTATAAAGACCCCTGTGATCATAGTGGTTTCACCTGCTTAATCTGGGACACTCCATCTCAGAATCCTTAACTTAATCAAATCTCCATAGTGATTTTGCCGGTCCCTTTTGCCATGTGAGATAACATATTCATAGGTCTCAGGAATTAGTATGTGGACATCTTTGGGAAGCCATTATTCTGTCTACCATATGTTCTATGAGGCAAAGAAAGGTCTGTGGGCTTTGAAAAACCCCAGAGGAGTCTGGTCCCTTTCTCTGACCCTAAATCTTTCTAAAACTGTTTCAGCAAACCACTGGAATTACATTTCCTGTCCTTACCTTCCTCCCTCTGTACCAAGGTCAGAGAGCATGTGCTGAGGTCACTGTCTGCAGTCACTACCACCCTGGGGGACGTGCAGAGGGTACAAGAGATGGCCTCGGTGCTGAGAGAGGTGATCCATCGCAGTTAGGAGCTCACGCCCTTGGCCCAGGTGAATAGTTTCTGGCCACTGAGCCAAGCCATGGGACATGTACCTCTCTGGTGCATGACAACTCACCCCAGCACAGGCAGCCAAGATTTCCACCATCTCTTTCCAAAAGTCCTATAAGGGTGATGCTAAGGGAGGAAAAGTGCTCTGTGTCTCCTTCTGGGTGTGATGGTCTGTGTGCTTACACATCACACTCTGCCAGTAAATTTAACTAATTATTGGGTGGTTAAGTGTGTGTCCAGACAATGCTACTGACCACCCATGTCTCCCACTTCAGTGCACAGCAGCCTGACACCCAGCCACCAGCTCTAGCCTTTCTTTCATTTCTGACATCTACCCCCCTCCAACCCCTGCGTACTGCCTCCCACATGGAGGCTTGAACATGTCAGGGAATCGATACTGTGGTCAGTGATGAATTGGCTGGGGCACATATACCCCAGCTTCCCCGCCCCTCCTGGTGGGTAACTCTCACCCATCCATCTATCCATTCATTCACCCATCCAGTCAATGAATGTTTACTGAAAGCCTACTATATTCTGGGCATTTTGCAAGACAGTCTGGAAAGGATCCCAAGATGGACCAGGCTACTCTACTGGGGAGGGCACACCCACCTCGAGTTGGTGATACAAGCAGCTGATGTGATGCGCCTGGCCCATATTTTCCCTAGTTTGGGTCCCCACCTTGTTCCCCTCCCTTCTAGCCCCCATCCCATGAATCCTGGGGAGGGGCTCATGCTCTTTTTCCTTCCCCTTTGGACGAGCCCAGTGGGGGGCCAGCCAGGCTCTGCAGCATGCCAGTGAGGCCCTGTTGGCAGTGAATGTCAAGGCCCATCCTGAGGACCAGAGGCGCCAGGTAGCCACCAGGGACCTGTTTCAGGCTGTGGGCAGCATGCTAGAGGCTTCCCTGAGGGACAGACTCGAAGAGCCTTTGGAAGCCAATGGCAGCCAGATAGGTGTCCCAGCCCAGAAGCAGACCTCACACCTACGATGTGCCCAGCTCACACCAGCATTTCTAGATGGATCTTTCACCACATCTTGCAGATGAGGAAACTGAGACATGGAAATTAAAGTCCTTTCTAGGGAGCTGAAGGAAGGTTCCAGAGACCATAACTTCTGGGAGTCAGTGTGGTATAGCAGGCCAAGAGCAGGCTCTGGCAGGAGGCAGGATGAATTCGAATGCTGCATCTGTCGCTTACCTATAACTGCCTCACAGAATTACTCATCTGAAGATGAAAAGGGTTCATGTAAGGCAAGTGTTAGAAGTTTCATAAGTGCTTACTCTTTGTTCTCCCAATTAATGGCATCCCATCATGGTCTCTGCCTCACTCAGTCCCTGTCGAAGGTCCCACACCAGCCTGTGACAGTAACCAGAGGTGATACATAGACAGGTCTCTTTTGTTTTATCTCCTCCCTCTTCTCTCTCTAATCTCTCTTTCCTTTCTCTTATTTTCCTCCCTGTCTTCCTTCTCCTTCCTCTCTCCTCTCCTTTCTCCCTCTCCTTTCTACACACCCCTGCTTTCTTTTCCAGGTGGCTACAGTGTCCCAGCTGCTCAGAGCTGTGGAGCATGTACAGTCTGCCCTCCTGCTGGGGAGACTGCCCAGGCGCCTTCCGGCCACACTGGCCACACCCTCCATCTTGGTGTATAGAAACAGGTAACAGCCATACTGTGGGTCTCCAAGAAAGCCTGTCCCCAGATCTGGCTTGTTCCACACCCACATCTCAAAACCCTGTGACAGGCAGAGCCCAGGAGACCAGCCTTGCAGGTGGGAGAAGTGACAGGACTTAGAAGTGAGAAGGGCTTTTCAATGAGAGATGTCCCTGTGTTGGGTTGACCTCTTGGATCATGGAGGCAGTTTCCCAGAGCAGCATGCTGATCAGAGCTCGGTTTTGAAACCAGATCTCCAATTTATCCAGATGGGACAAGGTCAAAGGCTGTAAAGATGGGGTTGGGAGCCCATGACATCAAAAGTCAAGTAGGCAGGGGAGATAATCCTAGACAAATGTCCACATCAAAGCTCATTTATTCATCCAACAAAATATGTACTGACCACCAGTATGTTCCAGACACTGTTCTAGATATTGGGGGTAAAGCAGTAAACAAAGCTGGCTAAAGCCCTGTCCTCCAGGGCCTCCAACCCAGGGTAGGGGTATCGCCTGCCTTTCATACTGCTACTGACACAAACATGTGAAACCATATCAGGGGGGTCAAAAGAGAGCAGCCTATTCTGATGGTCACACAGTCCTCCCTATAGTGTAATGAACGGTCACATATTCCTCTGACACAGACTTTCTCCTTCCTCCCAGCACCTCTGTTCTCACCTCATGACCAGAATTCAGCCCCGGAGTTTGCAAGGCTCCTCTGTGCACATTGCTGCTGCCAGCTCTGTGACCTTCACCCTGCCTGCTGCCTCCTCCCTTGGCTCCTTGGAGGATGGTCAACAGCCTGTGGACATAAGGGTAACAACAGTAATATCCTGCTTGGGAATAGCCCTTTACAATCAATCTACAAAGCACTTACACAGCATTTGCTCAGTTATGTTGACTGATAACAACCCTGTCAATTACATAGTATCATGATGCCCATTTGACAGATGAGGTTCCATGACTTGCCCAAGGCCACAAGTAAAAGTGGGAGAGCTGGGACTCAGACCCAGGCCTTCTGGTTCCCAAATCAACTTCATTCCATAATTAGGAAATAGCAAACCTAGGGTTTGCTATTTTCCATTCCCAAATTAGTGCACACCTGACTCTTTGCTCCTTGCACCCCAGTGAAAATGAACAAACTTCTCTCTCTTAGAGACTTGTTGGTTTTGCCAGAAGAAAGACTCATACTGTTCTACAGTCTAGTAACTGCTCAGCTATAGCCAGTCTGACTGGGTTCTCTAGGTCCAGCTTTCAGAAGCTACAGACCTGACACGTAGACACCCACCAGAAAAACCAGCAGCAGCTAAAGGCAGGGCCCCAATTTACCCTTAAAGGCAAGGGCCACTTGTCCATCTCCTCTTAGGAAACCTCATGACTTCACATAGGGACCTCTTCACCTTTCAATTTTGGGGCACCTGGGCCAAAACTCCTTGTTCTTAATTTCGGATGATGAGTTTCCCAAAGAGCTCTTTCCCAGCCCAAGGGCACTTTGATGTCATTGGAACTGTCAGTGGCCTCTCTCTGACCAGCCCTGGTGGACAGTTCGTACCCATGAAGAATCTGTCAGAGAATATTAAGGTGGATGTTGGCGATGCGTGTAGATGGTGGATGTTGTAGATGAGGTAGAAGTCAGGTGGCCCTTTGTCTTCTTCAACTTGGTTGGGACTAACAGTTGGTTGGCTATGAAAAATATATATTAAGGAGGAGAATTATTAAAAATGATCCAATTTTAAACATTGTATTTTAACTTGAAACTATAAAAGTACATCATTATAAATTTTGGGTATACAACTAAAAAGTTTCTTTAAATCTGTTGTTTGGAATTTTAATCATCTTCATTACATAACATAGCCTCTGAAAGGTCCAGTTAGATTTCCTTTTTAGTTAATGAAAACTGTAAGCACACCACAGTGCCATATGAGTTCAGATTCTTGGAAGAGTTTAACGATTTTTTCTAATCCTTTACAGTTTTCACATCAATGACTAATTCAATAACAATTTTTAGCAACTCATCTTTATTATCTTCTCAAAACAGTCAACTTAAGTTTTTATGCACATCATTCTTTTCACACTCCTACTTTGTCACTGTGTGAAATGCATGATCAAAACTGACCTTTAGCGTCACAAGCACAATGGACATAGGCAGGTTTGGGCACGAGCAGGTCAGACACAACTGCTCATCGGTGAGCGCGTGCCTTGACCGGTAGGAGAGGGCTGCCAGGATTACTGCAGAGACGTTATTCGTCGGGTTCTCTAGAAGCAGGATTTGAGAAAGAACTTTCAGTGCAAGATGCTTCCTAGAGATCAACTACCTGAGAAGAGAAAACAAAGAAAACGGGACTGGGCAGAAGTCAGTGATTACAGATGACTCGAATGCAGATCTCACACAGCCTCAGTCAGTCCAGAGGGAACCCTGCAGCAAGTATTAGCCATCTGGGTTATAGTAATTGTGTTTGTCATTTTCTGTATCTTATGTTGTTTTGACATCTTAAAAATCTTACTGGTGAGGAGGGACTGTCCCTCCCAGGGCCAGCCAGTCCTTAGAGATAGCAAAGGGCTCATGCCTTTCACAGGCACGCCAACTGATCCTGAGTCTCTACCCCAGCTATCCCCTTTATCTAATGCTCACATGCCAAGCCAGTATTCAACCTTGACCAAAATTACCCCAGGGCCAGGTACCAGGCAATTAGAGACCACCCCTGCAGCCTAAGCCAGCCAGAATTATTCAGACTGGTCAATCCTAAACTGTTCGCTCTGTCCTGTGTTCCTTCCCTTTGGAAACCCTAACAAAGGCCAAGGCTAGGGCTTTCCATCGCCATGTCAGCCTCTGCCTCCTGGTCGGCACTTCCCCTGCAGCCCTGTGTGGCATGGCAGGTCCTCACTCCTCAGGAAATGCATGTAACACATTTTTATTTAAATGGCATTGACCTCTCCATGTCCTCATCACTCAGTTGCTTCCATAAATTAAAATCCCAATGGGACAAGAGTATCCTGCATCGGGCCAATATGCCTGGACCTTATACCCTCCTCCTTGCTCGGCCACTGAATGCAGGTGGCCCCAGGAAGAGAGGCCCTGAGGACAGGTGAGTCTGCAGCTAGGACAGACCCTGAAAGACCTGGGAGCTGGAGCCTGTCTACTGACTCCACTCCTTGGGATTGGGCAGCAGGTCCTTCCTGCAAGGCGGAGATGGGCAGTACATTGGGGCCTCTACCACAGAGGGCTACCAGGAGTAAACAGTGTGCAATGGGCATACATCAGTCTGTTTTAAAAAGGGAATGGAGAGTATTAGTTAATGCACAGAGCTGATTAAATGGAGAAAGGTTATGAGAATTTCTGATGTAAGAATGATAACAGAGTAAGAGCAACTATTATTGCATGTTATTGTGTATCTGGCACTTGGCTAAACATTTTATGTGCAATATCATTTTTAATACTCTCAATGAGTCTAGAGTCTATGTGTTCTATGAATGACAGGAACTGAGACTCAGAGTGGTTTGTTAATTGGCCAGAAGTCCCAGAGCTAATACAGGGTGGAGTCAAGAACCAAACAGAGGTCTCTCTGCCTCTACAACCTGTGCTCTAACTCACACATACTTGATCAACACTGTCATCAACACCACCACTAGTTCACAGAAAGGCACCTCTGTGTGAATTAGAAAAAGCCTCTGCTCTTTCTGTGCAGACGCAGCCCTGAGCTGGAGTGCACAGCTTGACGACCATGGTAAGTTGAATAAAGACCCCCGAGATGTCCACGTTCTCATCCCCGAACCTGTGAATATGTCAAAAGGGACTTTGCAGATGTGACTAAAGGATCTTGAGTTATAGAGATGATCCTGGATTATCTAGGTCGGACCAATGTCATTACAAGGTCCTTACTAATGGGAGGCAGAAGGGGAGTTGATCCCAGAAGAGAGAAAGGCAATTTGATTACAAAAGCAAGAGGGCAAGGTGATGGGAAGAAGGAGCTATGAACCAAGGGATGTGGGAAAAGGCAAAGAAATAAATTCTCCCAAAGAGCCACTAGAAGGAACCAGCCCTGCCGACTTTAGACCTGTGAAACTGATTTTGAACTTCTGGCCTCCAGAACTATGAGATAAATTTGTGTTGTTTCAAGCCACCAAGTGTGTGGTCACTTGTTACAGGAGCTGTAGGAAACTAATAGAATGAGCAAAGCACAGAGTGGATTCCAGTTCCCCAGGTGCTCACCCTGCCCTGCTCTGAACAGCAACCCTGATGCTAACTGGCATTCACATCAGTACACCCTGGATTTGATTGTTTCTGATGACAGATCCTGCTGCCCTGGCTTTCGGAAGGACACAGTGAGCCAACTGTGCTGAATCTGACCAGTCCTAAAGCTCTGTGGGTGAACCTGACTTCAGTGGGGGCAGCTTTGGGGATCCAGCTGCACTGGAGACCTGACATCCCACTCACACTCAGCCTGGGCTATGACTACCACCCCAACGAGACCAGCGACAAAGCCAAAGCTCACCTTCTACCAATGGTTGCTCCAGGTAGTCACATCATTGGGTCAGCTCCTCAAGCTGCTTCCTGGGAATGCAACCAGCTCAAAACTTAAGAATCAGAAGTCACGGGGGCGTGTGTGTGTGGGAGAATACCTGCTACATTAGGCACTTATTTTTGTTGTTAGTATCATTACTGTCATTATTAATAGGTGAGCACTAACTATATGCCCTGAACAAGCAGACAAGCACTTACAGAACTGACCTCATTGCAACCCTCACAACAACTCTCAGGGACGGGGACTAATGACATCTCCGCTTTCCAGATAAGAACAGAGAGGTCAAGTAACTGGTCCCAAGTCACACATTCAAGAAGGGACAAAGTCAGAATCTGAGCCCTCACCTGTCTGACTTGGCAGCCGTGCTCTGTACACTAACCTGGGAGAGCCTCTTCTACGCTCCTGGTCTCAGGAGGAGAGGGTACTCCTAGGACACTAGGGAAACCATTGGGGCTGGCTTCCCTGCGAAGTCCCCTGTGAAGTCACCTCAATCTCCCTCTTCCATGATGTTCATCAGCCCGGTCTCCCAAGGCTTCAGGCTGACCCTGAGCCCCCTTTCCTGCAGATGGGCTGTCCACATGGATCCTGAGCCCAGAGGACCTGCATTTTGGAGAAGGTGTCGACTATCTGACTGTGATCCCCAAGTCTGACCTGGAGCCGACCCCGGGCAGAGACATCACAGTTGGCATCACCACCTTCCTTTCCCATTGTGTGTTTTGAGATGAGGTGCAGAGGACTTGGGACAACTCTGGGTGCCAGGTAAGGAGAGGGAAGAGAAGAAGACAGAGCAGCTTGCTTGGGTGTGTCCTGCTCCTTTAGGGTCCTGTTTTAGTGCCTCTGGGGATCCATCTTCAGCCCCTCCATGGGCCTCTGCATGTGCGCCTGGAACCCAACACCCACTCAGTGAAGTTAACCCCTCCTTCAGATCCCACCTGAAGCGTTGCTCCCAGAAACTTCTCCATGCCCTGGTTCGGTCAGACTTCCTACAGTGAACTCGCAGCACACAGGCCCGCCTCCTCCACACACTAAGCAGAGTGGTAGTTCTACACCCACTCAGGAGACCACTGAAAGATGTCTGTTCCTTCAGTGCACTGGGAGTCACTTGGGACAGGAACAACACGCTTTGTTCACTATTAGGAACAAATGACCTCTGAATGAACGGACAAATGACTGGGAAGCCCTGCTGACTCTGGGTTGCTGAGAGGGGCCAGAGTGTCATTTCCAAGGAAATGAACTCATGGCTGAGTCCTTTATTCTATGCCAGGTGCTGTGTTCCATGCTTTCTTGTGTTCTCTCATCAAATCTTCACATTAATCCTCTAAGAGAGTTGGTATTCACATTTTACAGGTGGTAAAACAAAGGCTCAAGAAATTCAACTAACTTGCCCCAAATCCCTCATCTAGTAGGTAGGGGAGTGGGGACTCAAACACAGATCTGTTTCCAGAGAATAAGCCTTGGCAATATGGGCACTGATTCTCCGGAGCCCAGCCCATTCTCACTGGTCCCCTGGATGGTATGTGGCTCTGTTAATTGCAATCAAACCCTTGTCTCAGATCAGCTCAGCTCTGCCCCCCAAAAGGAAAAAACTGTGACAGTGTCTTGGCAGTAGACATTGGCTTTGAGGCCATCAGAAGCCATCTCTGTGTCATCAGGGTTCCCTTCCCCTTCCCCTTGCCATTGTCCATGCTATTCTCTCCCTGAAATCTTACCTACAACAGCTGGTGAATTCCTATTCACCCTTCAATCTCTCACTCCAATGCCTCCTTCCTTGGAGAGCTTCTCAGATGTCTGGAGTCTCCCTCTATCAGATTCCCCAGCACTTCATACCCTCCTTAAGAACAGCAACCTCCATATCTAGTTGAAATTGATCACACATCTGTCTCTACCTACAGGACTATGAATATCTTCCTTCATTTATTTTACAAATAGTCACCGTGTGCCAGGCCAACTGGTGGGAATATAAAGGTGAGGAAAACCAGTGAGCTCTCAGCCTAGCAGAGGACACAGATAAGAAGCAAATGGCACAACATCAAATGATGGCAGTCACAAGTAGTATAAAAAGCCAGGTTGCAACAGAGTCACAGAAGGGGACTCGGGGACAAGCTCCTTCCAGGTTTGTTGCTGCTGCAGCTGCAGTTTCCATGTCAACTCCCACCCTGGCTTCCATTGCCACACAAAGGGAGTTCCCCAAAGCTTCAGGAAGAGATGAGGGTGCACTGAGATGTCCAAGGCACAGCAGGTTCCCCACAGTTGTAGCACAGGCCCTTGTTCCTTGTGAACAAGACCCTGGGTGCGTTGTGACCTTCTACAGTCCATGCTCCCAAAAGCTGTCTGATCCCCATGTGCCTGGCCGAGTGCAGCCCTCAGATGCTCGGGGCTCAGAAAGTGGGGTGGTGCAGCGGTGGGCGGCATGGGCTCTCACATTAGATAGACTTGGGCCCAATCCCACTTCATCAATTCTAGCAAGGTGACCTGGAATGAGTCACCTCCCTCCCCCTTTGAGTTTTCCCATCTGAAAAATGAGGATAAAGGCTACTTATAGTTGGGGTAGGACCTGGACGAGATTAGGAATATAAGTACTTAGTGTGGTGTCTGGCACACAGTAAGCACTCCATATGTTACAGAGATTGCTATGTTAGCCAATCTGACCATAGAGAAGACAAAACTATATAAAATGGAAATCAAAGAAACAATGAACATGGGATTCAGCATGTTGGTTGAGTTCAACAGCGATGAACTGGTCACTCTGGATGTCCTCTCAGCACCTAGCCTGTTGCCTGGCCCAGAATTAGCATTCAACAAATAGCTGTACAGTAAACGAGCATCAGGTGGGACAATGGGCTGTAATGATATACACCAAGGTGTGATGTGATTGGTTGTGGAGGATGGGGGACACAGGGGACTTTAGTTTTAACTGCAATACTCACCTAAGAAAGGCAAAGCAGACTGACAAGATGGACACTTGCCCTTTGAGAATGAAGTGTGCAAAGATAATATTCCCATTCTAAAATTATGTTTTAGTTAAATGAAAAAATCCAAACAGAATCCTGAAGCTGGTCACACAACAGGCTCTCCGGCCCCTCCCTAGGACAGTATCCACTCCTCATCATTCCCTCCGGGCTCAGACAGTTCAGGGGTATGATTGTATTTCCACCAGGGCTTCTTTGTGGTTGCAGGTGGGACCACGGACCACCCCCTCCCAGACACACTGCCTCTGCAATCACCTTACCTTCTTTGGAAGCATATTCTTGGTGATGCCCAATGCCATAGATGTCCACCAGACCAGGGAGCTCTTTGCCACCTTTGAGGACAACCCTGTGGTTGTGGCCACTGTGGGCTGTCTCTGTGTGGCCTATGTGCTGGTGGTGATCTGGGCAAGGAGGAAGGATGCTCAGGATCAGGCCAAGGTGAGATTGGATGGTCCTAGGGAATAGGAGGGAGGAGCAGGCATGAGCCCTTGTGGGAGCTCCAGGGAATGGAGCCCAGATGGGGAGCCAAGAGGCTAGTTGTAAATCTAGGCCTTGGCCCCAGAGTCATCTCAGGCAAGCTGGCCCCCTAGCCTCTTCATCTGTAAAAATGTCCTTTTCATCACATCATCACAAGGATTATAATACTATTTATTAAGGATTTACTCTATGCTAGGCCCCAAGACCACCCTCAAGTTCAATGATTTGCCAGGAGGACTCAAAGAACTCAGAAAAGCTGTTATACTCATGATTATGGCTTATTACAGTGAAAGGATACAAATTAAAATAATCAAAGAAAAGAGACCACAAGAGATCAGGCAAGAACTTCCAGCGGTACTCTCCCAGTAGAGTCCTATGAGCACACTTACCATTATTTCTCATAGCAATGACATGTGACAATATATGCAAAATATTGCCACCAAGAAAAGCTCACCTGAGCTTTGGTGTCTAGCGTTTAATTGGGGGCCAGTCACATAGGTATGGAGCGTCCACATGACTGACTTTCACTAGTCTCCAGCAAACCACCCCCATTCCCGCCAGGAGTCAAACAAGACCCACAGCTTTCACCAAAGTCACACTGTTAGCATAGACTATCTGCTGTGGCCCAGGGCTCCAGGTACTCAAAGGCACTCTTATAATGCTGGATCTTCTCAGGACTTACAGGTTATCTTTCAGGATCTGGCGGAAGAGCCAGTCCCTTCTATAAAATGTGCAGGGTTTGGACAACCTAAGCTTGTTGAGTTCACCCTTTACTGCACAATCCCTGAGTCATCTCACAGAGGAGGCATCCAAGGACCAGAGAGTACAATTAACTGGTGGAAAGCCACCCTCCTGGGAGCCAGAACTCAAACCCAGAACTGCCTGACAATAAAACAGGTGTGAGGACAGAAACAAGATCAAACAACAAACTACAACAACGTTCTGATTACTTTTGCAATATATGCTCCCCATCTGACACATAATGAGTCTTCAATAAATATTTGTTAGTGTCTGAGTGAGCACATAAATGCATGCAAGTATGCAGTCACAAAGCTCTGAGACATTCTCCATTCTGTCCTCCCTACACACACCACACCTCTTAAATGTTAAGATGATATGAAACTTAAGATAAATAGTTGCAGCATTTATAGTGCTGTCTTTGATTCACCCAAGGGATTAAACATTAATACTTCAAGTACCTCAGCTGTAGGTTGGTTCCCACAGAGCAGACTCTGATGGAGTTGAGCATGCAAGGTGTTCTTCAAGGAGTGTCTGGGATCAGCCCATGGGAAGGGAGGGGAGGGAGGGGAGGAGACAGGAAGAACCAAGGGAGAAGCTGAGCTGGAATGCAGCCTGCCGACAGCCCGGCCGCCTCACGGAGAATGCTGGAGCTCCCAGAGCTGGGTCGAGATGCCCAGGTCTTGATCACACCCAGGCACCACATCAATCTGCCATTGGTCACTGGCCTCCTCAGGAGGGTGCACGACCTCAGCAGAGGTGGCTCTTGCACCCCTGACAACAGGACCTCAGCAACTGGGACAACAAGCCTTTGATTGACAAATCTGAGCAGCTCATCACAGAGCCCCCTGCAGCCTCTGGCCAACTCTAACTTTTTAAAATATTTTAATTTTTTGCTTAACTACCTCAACACTCATTCTTTTTAAATTCCCTTAGAAGAGACTTCCGCCAAGATGGAGGTGTAGGTGGAAGCACTGCACCTTCTCACACAACCAAGTTTAAAAACAATAAAGTTTTAACAACAAAAACGCAGCCAAACCACAGAAAATTGAACTACAGGGAAGTCTGACAACAACGAACCCTTCAGCCAAACCAGTAAGAGGGGCAGAGCCAGCAGCAGAGCGGGGTCGGGCAGGAAAGATCCACCAGACCGACCTGGGTGCGCGACCCAGGTGCACCAGCAGCTGTGGGCGGATCCCAGGTGTGGAGAAGCCAGCGGACCCACTGAGGGTGCGGGGCAGTGGACTCACTGAGGGCTGACCACAGTCACACATTCGAGCGCAGATAAACCTGAAAAGGAACGAAGCAGTGAGACAGACCGTGCAGGCCCCAGTGGCGAAAGTGGCAGAGGGGACCACCATTGTCCCTCTCTGACCCCGCCCCCACATACAGCATCACAAACCAGTGACCTGGGTGGCCCCGCTCTGGTGAACACCTCCTTGTATGTAACAGGCAGGAACAGATCAAAACATGGCTCAAGAACAACTCAGAGCCCCAGAGCCCATAAATCTAAGCGAACAAGAAATTGCCAACCTATCAGAGGCACAGTTCAAAACACTGGTGATCAGGATGCTCACAGAACTGGTTGATTATAGTCACAAATTAGAGGAACATATGAAGGCTAAACTAATTGAAACGAATGGAAATGCACAGGAAACCAATAGTAATGGAAAGGAAACTGGGACTCAAATCAAAGGAATGGTCCAGAAAGAGAAAAAAATGACCAAACAGAAAAGGATGAAGAAACAAGAATTCAAAAAAATGAGGAGAGGCTTAGGAACCTCCAGGACATCTTTAAACGCCCCAACACTCGAATTATAGGGGTACCAGAAGGGGAAGAGGAAAAGCCACGAGTGGAACACTTATTTGAACAAATTATAAAGGAGAATTTCCCCAATCTGGCAAAGGAAATAGACTTCCAGGAAATCCAAGAAGCTCAGAGAGTCCCAAAAATTTGGACCCAAGAAGGAACACACCAAGGCACATCATCATTACATTAGCCAAGATGAAAATGAAAGAGAGAATTCTAGAAGCAGCAAGAGATAAGGGGACAGTCACCTACAAAGGAGTTCCCATCAGACTGTCAGCTGATTTCTCAAAAGAGACCTTGCAGGCAAGAAGGGGCTGGAAAGAAGTATTCCAAGTCATGAAATCCAAAGACCTACATCCAAGATTGATCTATCCAGCAAAGCTTTCATTTAGAAGGGAAGGACAGATAAAGTGCTTCTCAGATAAGATCAAATTCAAGGAGTTCATCATCACCAAGCCCTTATTATATTAAAGGGACTTACCTAAGAAAAAGAAGATAAAAAAGATGAACAGTGAAAGGACAGCAAACTCACAATTACTAAGAACCACACCTAAAAAAAAAAACTAAGAGGACAGCTAGATCAGGAGCAGAACCATAGAAATGAAGATCACATGGAGGGTTAGCAACAGGGGAGTGGGAGAAGGAAGGAGAAGGTACAGAAAATAAGTAGCATAGACGGTACATAGAAAATAGATAGGGGGAGGGCAAGAATAGTATGGGAAATATAGAATCTAAAGAACTTGAGTCACGTGGTCATAAACTAAAGGGGGGAATGGTGGGGGAGGGGTGTGCAGGGTGGAGGGGTATGCAGGGTGGAGGAAAATGAAGGGGGGAAATAGAACTGTAATGGCATAGTCAATAAAATATATTTAAAAATAAATAAATTCCCTTAGAGGCAGAATATGGTTATCAATGCTATGAAAAATTATACAGAAATAGAGTTTGTATTGTTCACCAGATCAAACATCAAGCATTCTCAGCTTAACAGCAAGTTCATTTCCAATTTTACTATTTTGGGTCATATTTAATAACAAATGTATTTTGTATTTTTATTTTATTTTTTAAAAGATTTTATTTGTTTTTAGAGTGAGGAGAAGGGAGGAAGAAAGAGAGGGAAAGAAACATTGACGTACGAGAGGAACATCAATCTGTTACCTCACATGTGCCTGACCACAATCTTGGCCCACAGCTCCGGCATGTGCTCTGTTTAGGAATCTAACCATTGACCTTTTTTTGTGTGGATTGAGCACCTGGCTGGTGCTCATTCCACAGAGCCACACCAGCCAGGGCTGTACTTTTATTTTAAAAGTTTTAGTTTTTACTTGTTTTCATCTGATGGAATGAATAAACAGCGTACATAATTTTGCTTTCCTCCTTTTATTGTCATGAATATCCAGCTCACTCATGGCTGCTGGGCAGTGGATAAACCCACTGAGTAGAGTCTTCCTAACTCAATCCTTAAAGTCACAGTGCTGGAGGACAATGATCACTTTGCCCAGTACCACTACCTGGTGACAGTCTACACTGGGCACCGGAGAGGGGCAGCTACTTCCTCGAAGGTACCTAACCATACAAGATCCCCAAGTCAGTTAGCATGAACCACCCAGCAAAGTGCTTGCCAGTTCATTGTTGAGTTATTTTAGCACAGTGGGTTTGGTGCTATAGTGTTTTTTAATTTCTTGCTTTTTGCTTTTTTTTTTAAATAGGAAAGAATCCTTTTGTCAAACAGCATATCACCCTAAACCCCAATATTTAAAAAGAAAAAGAAGGTGTTAATGGAGAGTTGGGGCCTAGCATAGTGCCACTTGTCATCTCTCTTATCCCTATCAGAAGAAACTCAGTTAGATGATTACCCGCATCAATTTCGCTCACATGTGAAGAACAGTTAGTAAACTGATCAGTAAATAAAGGAAAAGTAGAATTTACAAGAGAGGTGAGAAAGGAAAGAGAAAAAATGCCCACCATTTGAAAACGAGTCTTAATTTACATTTTTTAGGTAAACCAATTAGCTGGCATCTAGCTAACAGGTTGAACTGAGCCATCTGTCCTTGAATGGGCTGACGATAGGTAGTAGAGAAACGATTTCACTTATTTGTGTGTTCTCTGAAATCCTTGAACATTTAGCTGTGGGGCATACAGCAGGTTGTGTCCATAAGGCCTCGGCATCTTCAGTTAAGTCTGCCCTGCACCATGTCCCGCATCAGAATGCATATTCCTTGCAGCAACCTCCACGGTTCCTTTACTGAAACTGAGGGCTCCACGGAACACAGTTTAAGAAGCACTGGCATTCTGTATATTGTCCTAAAAAAAAACTCCACTGTTTTTTAAAAAATGACATTAGGCTTTATTAGAGCAGAGCATTTATCGGTTTACTTTCTTATTTTTTAATCTTGTTATTTTTATTTATGTACATATTTGTGTTATTTTTAGAAGTTCCTTTAACTTATTGCTATGTGTTAGGTCTTCAACCAGGTCTCAAAAATGGAGTAAGTACCAATAACTACTTATTAAATAAATGTAGGAATCAATTTCATCCATCTAATGAAACAGCCATCTCACTTCTGTTTGACACTGAAGAGTTACCCTTAACCGAAAGTGAAACCTGTGATGCACAGGCCATTTCTCTTCATGGAGAGTTGTCACATTTCAATCTGATATTGTTTTAGTTTGATTTCTCCGAGCACAGTGGTTCTTGACACGGGGCGATGCTGCCCTGGGCAGACAGGTGGTAATACTGGAGGCATTTTTGGTTGTTAGCAATTTGGGAGATGCTACTAGTATCTAGTGGGTAGAGGCCACGGATGCTGCTAAACATCATACAAGGCACAGAACAGCCCCCAAAGCAAGGAATTATCCAGCCTAGAATGTCTGTCGTGGAGAAATCCTCTTGTAGAAGCAGACTCTGAAACCAGGAATCAAGTATAAGTAGTTGACTTGAGAGGGAATCCTCGGATACCCCAGCAGGGAAATGGGAAGCAGACAGAGAAGGACAGAAACTAACAAAGAGTGTATTATTAACCTGTTACATTTCTGGGAAACGGAACCTAAGCCCATTTAGGGACGCCGGAAAACAGTAAGAAATGTGGGCTTCAGCGTCATCCCAACAGAGGGCCGAGGGAGCTGGGGTACCTATGCACCAATCCCATCAGTCACGGATGGAGGCTGACTTGCAGGGGCCATTCATTATCTGGCACTTTCTGGCCTGCTACTCTAACAGCCAACAGAACGACTGGGGAGAGACCCAGCTGCCAGCAGTTGCATGTGAGCTCAGGGAGTGCTGCAGTGATGACGCTAAGTGTTGTCAGCGTCATCAGTAGCATTTACTGCAGCTCTTTTTAGCTCAGAAGGTCATGCCCATTAGCATCACCTGGATAGCTTCAGAAAAACACAGACTCTGGGTCTCTGTACCAATATTCTTACCTGGTAGGTGTGGAGCAGGAACTGGGAATATGTATTTTCAACATAGTGGGCCCTCACTCATTCATGTCTCAGTGCCAGGCCCTGTGGCAGACACTGGGAACATAACTGGTAGGGGGGAAACCAGCTCCTGCTCTATAGTCCATTATAAATAAATATACGGGAAGTTTGAAAAGGCCACCAGGAAGCATTTTATGAGTAAAACTCATCTTGAAGTCATGAATACAGACAGTGTCACCCCAAATCTTCATACAACTAAAAAATAACCAGACAGGTCTAAGAGAGGAGGAAAGGAGAGGGGGAAAGTGCTATGCTTTGTTGATTTTCTTTGGGTTTTCAGGGGGCAGTTCCAATGAAATACAACCAGGGGGCTTGGTTACCATGTGGCATTGGTCACTCCTCATCTTTGGATTTCAGGTGACTATAACCCTATATGGTCTGGATGGAGAGAGCAAGCTCACCACCTGTCAGACCCTGACATCCTGGTTTTTGAATGAGGAGGAGTGGATGTCTTCTTACTCTCCACCTTGTTCCCTCTGGGAGAACTGAGGAGCCTGCGGCTGTGGCATGACAATTCAGGGGACCAGCCATCCTGGTGAGTCAACCTACTGTTGTGGTGAGTCAAACCACAACAACCTACTAAGCCCTAAGCTAGGGCTGGGCACTGTGCATTTGCTGCCCTACTGATCCTCACATGCCTCTGAAAGACACATAGAATGGATCCCTATTTCACAGATAAGAAAACTGAGGGTCAGAGAGGACCACCAGTCACAAGTTGAATTAGTATCTAGGAGAGAAACTATAAGTTGCAGCCCTGGGGTCCAGTGTAGTCCACCCTTGGCACTTTTGCAGCATCAATCTATCATTTAACTCCTTGTTTCATTATGTGTAAAAGGAGGACAAGTGCCTATCATGAAGAAAAACACTGCCTCAATAAGAGGAGACTAAAAGAGACACTGAGCTGATTCTCTGGTAGAAGAAGGTGCTGCTGCTGAACAATAAGCTAAGGTTGTCTTCACAACGACTCTCAGGGACAAGTACTGTTATCTTCGTTTAGGTGGGAAACTCTAAGCTCAAAGAAGATGAGCGACTTGTGCAAAGTCACACAACTGGCAAACTCAGAGCAAAGACTCCTCCCCATTCTGCTGAGGTCAAAGCTAGTGACCCAGATGAGTGGTTTCCAGCCTTAGCACCCATCAGCAGCTGGCAGCTTTAGAAAAACACAGCATTTATAGTGATGTCTTTGATTTACCTAAGGGATTAAACATTAATACTTTAAGTGCCTCAGCTGCAGGGTGGTTTGAAGCAGACTCTGAGTTGGAGTTGAGCATGCAGGGTGTTTATCAAGGAGTATCTGGGGTCAGCCTCTAGGAAGGGAGAGAAGGAAGCAGGATGAGCACAGGGAAAAGTTTCAATGCAGCCCAATAACAGCCCAACAGCTCGGTTGACCCCCACCCCCCGCCTAGGGAGCTCTAAAGCTATCCCAAGTTGGGCTGAGATGCCCAGATCTTGGTCATGCCCACACACTGCACCCACCAGTCACTGGATGTCAGGCTCCCCAGGAGGGTGTGTGACCTCAGAAGATGTGGTTCTGGCATGCCTGACAGGGCTGTCCTCCCAGAAATGAGAAAATGCATGTTAAGAGCCTCCTGGTATAATCCCCATTATGCAGTAAGTGCTCAATAGAGAGCAGCTACTGATATCATTACCATTCTTATTGGCTGTAAGGCAACAGGGGAATTGGCTGCTTCTGGATCTGCCATCCAAGCAGAGGCAAGATGATTTCATTTCTTCCCCAGGTTTCAAACACCTAACTCGAAGTTCTGAGTCCCAGATAGATGGTAGGCTCACTCTCTGGGTAGAAGCCTGCGGGAGGACCCAATTTTGTCTACCTGTGTCTGCACCTCCCTGAACACACACATTTAGACAACTTTGCTTTCCTCACTTGTATCAGGATGCTGGCCCTGCACTTGCTGCCCCATGTCGAGGGTAAAGGTTTCAGAATATACCCTCTTGCAGCAAATCTGTGAAAACATGGCAGCCTTCAACAGCTGGGCTCCCCACATGAGGCCGAATTTACCCACTGATCAGGGCATTTTGATCAAGGCACCAAGAACAGTGCAGAAAAAAGAGCTCTCTTTATAAGAGCTCTTGTTCTTGGGCTCAGGTTTGCAGAGGTATTACCTTTGTGGTGTCCAAAGAAGTCTTATCCCCCGACCTTGTCCTCAGAAGTGTGGGTCCTTTCTCCAAGTACGTAAGCTGGGTGCTGGCGCATGACCTGGTGATGGACCGGAAGTGGTGTTTCCTCTGCAACTCATGGCTGTCCATCGAAGTCGGAGACCGTGTCCTTGACAAAGTATTTCCAGTAGCCACTGAGAGGGACAGGAAACAATTTAGGTACTTTTTTTTTTTTCATTTTAAGCAAATGCTCTTTACTTTTTCTTTCATTTCTAGGGAAGTTGCATTACAATCCAGTCACAGCCGAATAAAAACACATTTCAGCTATCAGGACTGGGTACATTTGAGCGTGTGACATTAATACCCAATCAGTTTTTCTTGTTGGGACTGAAAGGCCCTGGAGGGACATGGACCCTCCAAGACAGAATCTTCAAGGTGGTGAAAATGGTTGGAATGGTTATGCATATTTCCTTTTGAATGCCACAGAATAATATTTTCATATGCGTGAACAGTCCGATTTGAATGGTGATTCAATGTCTGGTCATTTGCAGTTTCTTCTTCATGTTATTTTACACTAGTTGGATTTTTCAGCACTTGTCTAACTTGGCTTTACTTCCTTCCACGTCTGTCTCCAAACACATACAAGCAAGTACAAATGTACATACACACATAACACCATAGATTATTGTTTATTTTATCTCCTTTAAAATATATTGCTTTTTCCCTTTAATGATATAATATGAATATCCTTCCAAAAGAGCATGTTAAGATCAATTTTTTCCTTATTGGCTACATAATGTTCCATAGAATAAATGTCCCATAACTTATTTAACCATTCTCTTATGAATGAACATTAAGTCTGTTTCCAATATTTAAAAATCAAGAGACTTCACTGAAAAAATGGCAAGTATGGAAATGCTGAGCCCGTATTCCTACACGACACCAAAATGCTGACACCGACTAACCAGCCTTCCTCTTACAGAGACCGTATGCTCTCCAGTTTACCGGAGTCCTCACCATTCCCTATTACGTGACTTCTAACCCACTTGACTCATTTACTTGATTTATTTACATCTCTCTGGGCCCCCTTAAGCATTTAAATTTGTGACCTCTACTTTAAATGACTTTTGAGGTAGGTTTTAAAAAATCTGTTTCCAGTGCATTTACTAAATCTACTTTTCCTCCCAGCTGCCACTGTGAGCAGCAGCTCAACCTCCAAGGGAGAAAAAGTCTGAATCAGAGAGACTTGGACCCCAAGAGATATAACAAAGACATGAAACGGACTGCAAAGTCCCATATGCCCACTATTGACTTGCTGCATGACCTTGGATAAGTCCCTCAGATTAAAGAGAATGTGGTGTCATTTTCAGGGGCTCTGTCTTATCAATTTTTATTCTCTTAAACTGAGTCTGAACCCAGGCCCTGGAATTTTTCACCACTATTTTTTGCTGCTCTAATTATAACAAATTTAGTATCGTAGTTATGTAGTTATGTTATTACATTAAAACTATAACAAAAGTAATCATTGCTAACACTGATGAACACTCACCTATATACCAGCTACTCTGCCAAATGCTTTCCAAAAATTATGACTTTTAATTCTTTCAACAGTCTGGTGAGGCAGGTTCTATTATTACCTCCATCTTACAGATGAGTAAATTGAGGTGCAAGGAGTAAAGTGACTTGCCTGAGGTCACACAGCTGGTAAGAGGGCAGTCTACGATCCCACTCTGTCCAAAGTCCCCATCATTAACTCTAAGTAATTCTGCCGTGAGGCTGTACTTCTTTTACAACAGAAAATAGATAATAAATCTTAGAAACAAAGATTGTTCCAAAGAGAGCAGTCTTCTCACATTCCCATCTCCTTACATGCCCGTCCCTCACTTCCTGCCTGTCCACAGACACCTGTTTTTCATGAAGACCTCATGAAGACCTCCATGGGCTTCCAGGATGAGCACATTTGGTATTCTGTCTTCAGCTGCTCAGCCCGGAGCAACTTCACCCGCATCCAGAGGGTGTCCGCTGCTTCTCCCTGCTCCTCTGCACCATGCTGACCAGCATCATGTTCTGGGGTGTTCCCAAGGACCCAGCTGAGCAAAAAATGAGCTTGGGTAATTCCCACCGTCATGGCAATTAGGGCTAGTGGCTGGTGGACCTGAGCTGTCACTTCCCAGAAATGCCATGCAATTCCAGAGCTCCCAAGACCACTCTAGTCCACAGCCATACCACCCTGAACGTGCCCAATCTCATCTGATCTCGGAAGCTAAGCAGGGTCGGGCCTGGTTAGTACTTGGATGGGAGCCAAGACCACTCTTGGTTTCAGTAATTCACTAGAACGGCTCACAGAAGTCAGGAACACCATTATACTTGTACTTATTACAGAGAAAAAAATACAGATTAGACCAGGAAAGGGAAGAGGTACATGGGGCAGGGTCCAGGAAGGACCACCTGTGGAGCTTCTAGTTGTCTCCTCCCAGTGGAATGGTGGACAGTGCTCACTCCTGATAATGATGTACAACGATACGCACAGAGTACTGCCACCCAGGATGCTCACCCAGGCCCTGGTGTCCAGAGTTTTTATCGGGGCTTGCTCACATACACGTGATTGACCCCCTGCGACAGCTGATCCAAGCCTCCAGCCCCAGCAGAGGTGGAGGTAATACCATGTGGCCAAGGTCTCCACCATAAATCACACTGTTAGCTTAGACTATACAGTGTGGCCCAATATTCCCTATAAACAAAGCTGTACCTTCAAGGCAGGACACCCCAGGGGCTTAGAGGCCACTTCTCAGGAGCCTCTTATGGGCTAGACCTCCCTTTGGGCAAGATTGATCCTTAATGCACAGCCACTTCCATTGACCCTTTTCCTCTCTCTGCCCCAGGTAAAACTGAATTCACTTGGCAGGAAGTGGTGATTGGACTGGAGAGCTCTCTCCTCAAGTTCCCCCATCAACCTCCTGATTATTCAGATCTTTCGAAACACCCGTCCTCGGGTGACTAAGGAGCAGAACACTGGGAAATGGGACAGAAGGTCTCCCAGCCCAGCTCCCTCACCACGGCCCATGGAGGATGGCCTTCTGATACCTGAAACAGTGTCCAAAGTATGTCTTCAACCTTGGTGGTATGGAAGGTGCTGAGGCCTGGGCAGAAGTGGGGTGAGGACTAAGGCTTGGGGCCTGACAACCCCATGTTGTCTCACAGCAACAGTCATCAAGATTTATCGGCTGCACACACACACCTGCATACACACAAGTGCACCTACACATGTATGCATATACACATAACACAGAAACATATGCACCTACAAACATGTACTTCATACAGATATACAGAGTGACACACACATGTACACACATCCACACAGAAGCAGGCACACATATAAATTTACAAATGTTTACACATGTATACACACACAAACACCTACTACACACATGCATACATGCACACTTTTGAGGTGCCTACTACATACAAAATGTTATACCTTTATTATAGATCACAGACTGAAAGCCTGTAGAAGGAATTGCACTCATGCACACAATAAGCATTTGTTGAGCACCTATTATGTGTTACAGTCTGAGGATTATAGTCTGAATGCGTTAGTTCAAATCCTAGGAAAGGGATTTTATAAGTGACAGATGGAAGCTCAGGATGGTCCAACATCAGGTCTCAGTGGGCAGAGCTGGGACTCAAACCCAGATTATCCAGTCCCAAGGTGAATGCTATTGACCGCTTGGCTGGGCCCCTTACTTATAGCTTATACCCCCTTACCCTACCTGGTTTGATTTGCAGGATATGTGGAGACTTGTTAGATCCCTGTTTAAAGCCTTAAAGGTGCCATCCCCTGCCTTGGGCTGGGACCTGATGGACATCAAGCAACTTCTGGCTTTGCTGGAAGGACTTGGCTCTAGCCAAGCTACCCAGCCAGGGCCAAATGAAGTTTTCATAACATGTATATCACCTGTTTACATGGGAGAAACGCAGCAAAACTAAGTAACTCACCAAAATGGCAGAAGCCATCACTTTAAATACCACCTTCAGCTTAAGGCAAAAGATGTTCTGGGTGGGGTGTCAGCTATGGGGGGCTACGAGGAAAAGCACAGTAAACAATAGTAATATTGTTATGCAGATTTAAGTCCTTCCTTCTCCAGTGATAAGTTTCTAGAGATTTATATACCCATGTGTTCCTGGTACAGTGAGAAAAACACCCTTACAAATGGAGATTTTCCTTAACTTCTACTTGATTTCAAGAGCTTCTCCCTCATCTGCTCGCTCTTAAAAAATAATCACCTAAAATAATAAATATCCCCAAAGAAGTGTATTTTGGGGGTGGCAAACTCTGGCCCTTTATTTGAGTACAGATAGGCTATTGATGGCATTAAGAAACTATTCTTAATTTTGTTAAGTGTGACGACAGCACTGGAATTCAGTAAGAAAATGACCATTATTGAGAAATATTCTGAAGTAATGAGGGATGATTTTATATATATCTGGAGTTTAATTTTAAATAGCCCAGTTTTTTAAAAAAGGTGGGGCTATAAGAAATAAATATGACAAGGTGGCAATGGTTGCTAAAACTAGTTAATGGGAATTCCTTGTGCTTGCTAATTTTGTATGGAGGAATTTTCATAATAAAAACTTCAAAAAATTATGTAGCACCGGCCTTCTAGGCTTTCCTTGAGAAGGAATGGAGCAAATCTGTGTAAAGCACTTCACATGGGGACTGGCTCAGTAGAATACACATAGCGTTAACCTAAAAATCAAAAGCTAAAGTGAAAGGTAACAAGCCTTTATTTGAGATCCAAAACAAATAGTTCAGGAAGCACCGATTTAGGCAGAAACCCAGTGTTCCCATTAGGAGGTGAAGGCAAGGGGAATGTATGAAAAAGGGAAGGGGAACTATTACATGAAAAGAAGAAATATCCATGGGTGTTAATAAGCTAAGAAAGGCATTTTTGTAGCTGCAGATAAACTAACATAGTGATGCCAATTCTAAAGAATGTCTTTAATTTTCATGCCAGTAGTCTTGAAGTCTGCTCTTCTGTCTGTTTTGCAAACAGTTGTTTGTAATATGATGCTGCTTTACTTTAGGCCCAGGGCAAAGGTTATTTTGTCCTCTTTTAACATTCCGAAGGCTCGAGGAGTAGGATGTGCAAGGCAGTTCCTCTGGGATGGCCACTCTAACTCAGTTTGGAAGTGGCTCGGTTTATAGATTAAACTGATAAGAACATACCACACTTGGTCTTAACCAGAAGGCTAAGAAGTGGTGGGGTTTATATTACTTTTTACAATATGTATACAGAATAGAACATAGAATAACCCTTTGAAATGGGTACAAGATATAGAGGAGGAATTTGAGGATCCAAGAGGTTAAGGAGCTTGGCCAAGGTGAACTAGCTTGGTCAAGGTCCCTCAGCTGATGGGCTGGAGTGGGATTTGAACTGATTCTAGACTATATCCCCTTTCCATTATGGCTCTCCGAGAGCAAGCAAGCCCCCTCGGGGCCTTCCCTGGTGGTGTGTCCTGGTGGGCTGGCTTCTGGTGGCAGCTACCTGTGGTGTGGCAGCCTTCCTCACCATGCTATACGGCGTGCACTATGGACGGACCGGCTCTCTCAAGTGGTTCATCCCCATGGCCATCTCCTTTGTGGAGAGTGTGTTTGTCACCCAGCCTCTGAAGGTCAGGACCTGTATGTGGCTGCCCTTGCCCCCTCTGTCCTTACTTTCTCTCCTGCCAGATGCCCTGTCCTTACGTTAGCTGTTCATTCATCTATCCATTCAACACACATGGTATGCCATCTCTGTGCAGGTCCCAGGGCAGGGGCAATAATGAACATAATGACCATGACGACTCAAGCCCTTCGACACTTACTCTGGGCCAGGCTTGGTGGTTTTATGAGATGCTGGCATTTCAACATCATACTCACACTCAGGAAGAACCCTGCCTCCATTTTATAGATGAGTAAATCTGAAGTTAAGAAGTTAAGGTCATAAACATCCTGCCCTAGACTACACTTGTGAATAGAAATAATACAAAATTTCCTCAATCCAAAGATGGTTTTAATTGTCAAACAGACCAGCAATTTATTGGAACTTGACATTTAGATAAAAACTCCCAGTCACTAAATGTGTACAACAATTGGAAGATACACTCCTATTTCTGAAATGTAATTACTGTTGGAGTGGGAGAAATACTGAGCCCTAGCCTGGAGATCTGGGTCACAGCTTTCCTTAGGAAAAAAAAACCAGCTGGTAGGAATACTGTGTCTGGGGTGGGGTGCCAGGAGTGGGGAAGCTGCATAAAGGAGGGACGTTTTTGGTGAATCTTTAAGTCTATGAGACTCACCAAATCCCCTACCCTCATTCTACCCTTTGGTCCTCTGTCCTGTCCTGAACAGCCTTTTTCAGAAGACTTCAGCACTTCCTGACACCTCCCACAACCTAGTCTAAGAATTTTAGGAACAGAGTGCTGGGCTTTTTTGTTCCCAACCAAGCCATAAAATCCAATTATACTTGTATACTGTAGGTACTATGGGGAAGGAAGAAAACTTATGTCTACCCTCAAGGTTCTTTCAGGTGGTCTAATAGTTAAATCTACATGAGGTAGACTGACACAGAAAATAACCAATTTAATACATATATATGCATGGGAACCTGGTATACATTGAAGGAGTCAGGGAACCAACATACACGAGAGAGGTACAAAGGCAGAAAAGGAAAATGAGGTATACAAGACATTCCGAGCTGAGGATCATCTTGGTGCTTCAGAGGGGAGGAAGGTCATTGCAGAAAGATGAGCAGATGTTCAGTAATTAGAAGTTTACCCTGCCTTACAAGTAGGTCATAAAAATTTATTTCCAGTAATAACTCTTATTATGAGCAAGGCCCCTAACTTAAATTATTTAAGAAAGAGGTAAAATTTTATCATGAGTTTGCAGGGTCTTGATTCCCTCAGTTCGAAATAATTTACATGCCAAAGAGAATTACTGGAGGCCTGTTCTGAACCCTTACAGCAGAGGTAGTAAAAGAAAGCTAATCACTTCGTATAGGAAGAAAGGGAGGGAGGATGGAAGAGTAACTTGACCACACTGGAGGTGCAAGCCAGGTGCACGCAAGCCCTGGCCCTCACCCTTCATAAACATGTCCCCTCTCTGCAGAGGAGGGCTGACCTCCTGACCTCACCTGACCTCCCCAGAATGTGGCTCCTGTGCCTGGGACACAGATGTGGCCTCAATCCAGCCCCATCTCAGACTGGGAGTTGATACAGAGTTTTCGACTTGCGTTTGGGGTTCACAGTGGGTATTTTTCTACGTGCTGGGGTTTGCTGCTTTCTTTGCACTGGTTTTAAAGAGTGTGGAGGACGAAGAGGAGCTTATGGCCCCTCTCCTGGGACATCTGTCCAGCCCAGGTAATGGTGCACAAGTGGAGGCAGGGACTGGGAATCTGATAAAGCTGAGAAAGCCTTGGAGAGCCCAGCCACTGGGGTGGGTGGTCCTGGCCTCAGACCTTTGCTCCCCATCAAGACTTCTCCCCTGACTGGTGAACTATCCCCAAACCATCCAGAAAGAAGTGACTCCTTCATTGTCTCTTGAACTATCTTATTCCTTCTTTACCTGGGCCTTTCTCTCTGATACCTAAGCATGATAAGAGGCACCTGAGGGCCATGCTCTGTGTTTGCTGTCATTCTCTGTGTAATCCCAATCAAAAGGCTTTCTTCTGTGAAGCCCAGGTCCTGGGTCTTTAGAATGAAGACCAAAAGGGGAAAAAAAAAAAAAAGGAATGAGCTTGTGGGCGGGCTACACAGTCATGGCAAGTTCAAGTTCTAGGACAAGGGTCTGCAAACTATATATAACCAGGGGACCAAATCCAGCCCACCACTTATTTTTGTACATAGTTTTACTAAAATCTAGTCAAGATGAGCCCTGTTGCAGAAACCCACTGACCATCCCCCTCCCCCCAAGCAGATCTCTCACTGCCCAACCATAACTCCTGAGGGTGCCAACAATAAGAGACTTATTAAAACAAAATTGCAAACAGAACAGAACCACATTCTAATAGTCTGTGCAGAGAACTTGACCTTCAGGGAAAATAAAACAGAAACTAGCAAAAGCCCATGTACCTACATCATTATGCGGTATAGTTATCACCTCCACACCAGCCTGTATTCTTCCACTCTAAATTAGGGTTTTGGTTTTGCAGATCCTAAGGTCCATTAAAATCTTCCCAAGACAAGAGTAATTTTTCTCCAAGGAGAGGCTGGCCTCCAGATTAATGAAATATTCATTAAGTCATTCCTTTGGCAATTATTCAGGAAGCACTTGCTGTGTGCTAAGCAGTGTGATGGCCTGGGGAGATAATTTACATAAAGTCTACTTTAATGTATAATTCATTGATTTTAGTAATTTATAGAATTGTGCAGCTATCACCATAGTTCAGATTTAGAATAACTTCATCACCCCGTAAGGTCCCTCTCGCCCATTTGAAGTCAACCCCTACTCCCGCCCCAGCCCCAGGCAACATGGCACTGACTACTGCCCTCCTTTGGAATGAACAGCCCATTTGGGGAGACACATTAAATAATTAAATGCATAAGTAGACACATATGTGAATTGTGATGGGAACTGGGCGTGGGGGGGATGGAGAGTACAGACCTCTTGGCTGAGGTGGTACCTAAACTGGCCCTTTGAAGATGGGGGCAGGGAGGGATTGCTCACTGGGAATGTACAAAGGCCCTGAGGTGGGACACAGCTTGTCATTTTATAACAATAAAATGACAATGTGGCCAAAGCTTGGGAAAATGAGGGGAGAATCGTTCAAGAGGAGGGCAGATAGGTGAATGGGGAGCAAGTCACGCAGGACCTTGTAGGACCAATGCTGGGGCCTTGAAGTGTTTTAAATAGGAGAGCAGCATGGTTCGTTTGTGAGTTTAGAAAGATTACTCTGGCTGCTCTTATAGGTCAGAGGTAGTTTGTCAAAAGTGGAAGTGGGGAGGCCAGTCAGAGGTATTAGGTCAATAGCAGAAGTGGGGAGACCAGTAGGAAGAATATCGCAATGGTCCAGACAAGAGGCGACATGTACTGGCAGTGGAGGTGAACAAAGGGCATGAATCCAAAAGATAGTTGGGTTACTACACCCCTTGCGGAATGGCTAACGTAAAAAACGTGGTAAGACCAAATGCTGACAAGGACGTGGAAAAACTTGAGCATTACATTGCTGGTGGTAATGTAAAATGATACAGCCACTCTGGGAAAGAGTTTGGCAGGTCTTTTCAAATTAAAAAATGGACTTGCCATATGTCCCAGGATTTGCACTCTTGGGCATTTATCCCAGAGAAATGAAGACTTACTTTCACACAGGAATGGATACACAAATGTTCCTAGTAGCTTCATTCGTAATAACCAAAAGATATTTGGCCACTCCTAAGAAGCTATCCAAAAGAAATGAAAATATACATCCACACAAACACCTGTACTTGGATGTTCATAGCAGCATTATTCATATTATCCAAAACTAGAAACAATCTAAATATCCATCAATGGGTGAACAGAAAACCCCTAAGTACATCTATACAATGAAATACTACTCAACAATAAAAAGGAACGGCTCATACATACAACAATATGGATGAACTCCAAAACATGCTAATTGAAAGATGCCAGGCACAAGAAACTATGTATGTATGATTCCGTTTATGTGAAATAGCGAGAAAAGGAAAACCTATAGAGACAGAGTACATATTAATGGGGCTGAGGGTGGGAATGGAGTGAAAGTGGGGACTAACCTCAGTGGGACGTGAGGGAAGTTTTTGGGGTAATGAAAATGTTCTAAAATTGGGTTGTTCTAAATTCACTACAAATTTACTAAAATCATTGTGTTATAGACTTCCATTCAGTAAATTCATGAGCATTATAACTCAAAAATGTGGTCTGAAAAAGAAGATACTGGGATTAGATGTTAATAGGACTTTAAAATATTAGTTACCCTCATCCTTCCATCCTTTAAAGTTTTGGAAATGTTGGGATCTGTCTTAGAATCCAGAAATGCAAGGAAGACAGCATCCAGGAGTCAGTAACCCTTCGGGGAGGGGAAGGCATTTGTTTTCAGTACCAGGGGGAATTGTCCACATGCAGAAGAAGGGACTGAATTCTGGACACAGGAACAGCATGGGCAGAGCACAGAGGGCTGTGTTCCTCCCCACAGAGGAGTAAGGGTGAGCCTGGCTGCACCTGGCTGCAAATATAGAGCCTGGTTCCACTGCCCATGGGAGTAACTGTCCTTGTGTCCTTGATTTCACAGACCCCTCTTCCTTGTTTCGAGAATGGAGAGACAGCAAAAAGGATGTCTACCAGCCACCTCTGGCCACCAACATCGAGAGGATGAAAACCACTCACCTCAAGGAACAGAAAGCATTTATCCTAGTCAGAGAAATCTTGGGTAGGCAGCAAGATTATCCATGCTTCTCCCCTACATTTAAAATCCTTCAATGGCCCTTCATGGCCCGTAGGATCAAATTCAAACCCCCTATTGTGGCTCTGCCCACACCAGGTCACCTCTCTCGGCCACTTGTGCCCTGAACTCCCGTGACACAGGATTCTACAGTTTCTGGGACATTATGCCCAATCCTGACCCCTGTCCTTTGCCCAGGCTGTTCCATCTAGTCTGTTGGAATGTGCTTATTCAACTTCTCCACCTTTTCTTCTGGTGAAGTCCTCTGAATTCCTTTATTCTCAGCCCAAAGGCTATGTATGTCCTCATAGAGGCTTCCCCGGGCCCTCTGGCCAACAGCTTTCAAGCCTCAATGTGTCTTGGTCTCAGCTCCCCATAACAGACTTGGGTATGTATGGTTGTTTTGGGAGGGGATCCTGGCAAACTTTGGTAGGGAAGGGGAAATCGCAGGGGTAGAGAAGAAAGCCAGTGGAAAGTGGGGTGGCGAGTGGGTTCCATGTGCACAACTGAGGCCCAGTCCTGTGGGGGACCTCCGCAGGAGCATGTAGTACACACCCCACATTTTCATCTACCAGGTCACTGGTGAAGTCTGTTCCTGAGGAGAGTACTGACCTTGCAGCACTCTAGCCTGCCTTCCCACTGGCTGAGCACGATCCTGGCCAGAGCTGAGGACTTGTGCAGGAGAGTAGCATGTACACAATGAAGAGTTCCAAGGGGTGTGGGCAGAGTTGTGAGAAGTCATCCAGGGGACGGGTTTCTATAATGCAGACTCCCAGGCCCAGGGCCCAGAGAGTCTAATTCAGTAAGGTTCCAAATTGCCACATGTTCCTGGTGTCCAGCCTCCTAAACTAAATCTTTGTACCTTCCGGGGTACTTACACCTGTCTTCTACAAAACAGGTGAGCTCCATGAGGGCAGGTAACACACCTGTCATCTTCATCACTCTGTCTTCAGCATCATAATGTGGCAGATGCCCCATTTTCTTAAAAATTCTATTTAAGAAACACTTATATAATATGAACTTGTGCATGCACTGTTTTAAGTGCTTTGTAAATACTAATTCATGACTCCCTCATCATAACCTTGTGTAATAGAATTACTATCCCCCATTTCACAGATGAGGAGAGCGAGACATAGAGGGGTTAAATCACTTGGGAAAGGCACATGAGTAAGAAGTGACAAAGCCAGGATTTGAACTTAGGCAGGAGGTTTGTGGTCTGTGAGCTCTATTTTTTTTCTGCTGCCTCTAGAAAAATCAGTCCCATTGTCACCAGAGGTGCAAATAATTGGCCTACAAAACCTCAATTGTTTCCTGCCCTGCACTTGGTGGGAGTTGGGGAATCTGCCTGACCAGGGGCTGTGCTTCCTTTCCCAGTGTACCTGGACTTCCTGTGGATGTTGCTGCTGATGGCCTATGGGCAGAGGGACCCCGGTGCCTACCACCTCAACAGACACCTCAAGCACAGCTTCACTCAAGGCTATTCAGCTGTCCTGGGCTTCCAGGAGTTCTTCATGTAAGCCAACACCACACTGGTGAGGAACCTGCACAGTCATCATCCAGGTACTGTCCCCTTGCCACAGGATGTGCCAGCCACCTGATGCACCCTTCTTTCTAGGAACAGGTGTAAGTCTCAGTAAACACCAGCCTTACAGAGAACCGATAACCATAGAGCCATATGCTTTAAAGGAGAAACACTCAGAAGACTGTGTGTATACAGAAGGGCCCTATCACTCCCTTGATGCAGAGTGGAGAACTTCCTAAATGAGAAATAACTGAGCATGAATTGGCCAGGGAGAAATGGTGTACCAGGCAGAAGAGACAGAATGAGAAAAGATGAGCCTGAAACACCATGGCACTTTCTTGGAACTACAAAGTGCTGAGTGTGGCTATAAGTAGGAGTTGAATACCAGTGAGCATCAAAGCAGAAGCGAAAAATGAGGGCCAGATCATAAAAGATCTCAAAGTTCTTTTTTTATGCTCAGGGAAATGAGGAGTCATTGAGTCATTACCTCCTACACGAAGGAGTTACACAATCAAACTTGTGGTATAATCAAACTTCCAGAAGGATCATTCTAAAATTGTGGGAGTTGGAGGAGAGGGTGGGTATGTTAGTATGCTGGGGAGAAATAGTGGGACTGATGCCAAGAAGAGGGGTACAAGAGGTGGGGAGACAAGGATAGATGTAGACAACAATGAAGAGGTAGAATTGTTGGCCTTGCTGACCATTAGAATGAAGGCATTGAGGGAAGGGGTACAAATGTTCTCCAGTTTGATGACTGAGTGGTGAGGGTGTCATTACCTAAGAGAAGTGTACAGGAAGTAGACCAGGTCCCGGGTGGAGAGATGGTAATGTAGCCTGTGGTTGGCCATGAACTTCTTTTGGCTGTCTCTACAATGGGTACACTAAAATTTATGTTAGCATCCAGGCCAGGGAGCTTGGAATGTGTTAAAATAATTTTGCTTACTAGATTTACCCACCTATTTTTGGTCATCAGGCTTCATTACTGATGGGAACTCCAAACTGGTTGGCAGTGCCCAGATTCGTCAAGTGAGAGTCTGAGAAAACTCTTGCCCTCTTGCCACATGGTTGCAGACTTCTCTCGATGGGTGCCATGCACCATATTCCCTGGATGTTGAAGACTTGTCAGACTATGGGGAAGGCTGGAATGCCTCCAACCTCAATAGCAGCAATGGCTTTTCCCAGGCCTGGCAGTGCCAGAGCCAGCACCGAGGGTATCCCATCTGGGGCAAACTCACTGTGTACCAGGGAGGAGGTTATGTGGTCCCCTTGGGGACCAATCGCCAAAGTGCAGCAAGGTAAGGCTGACTTGATTCATGCGCAGTCGAGAAAAGCCATTTGCTGGAGTTCCGGTCTGATTGGCTTGTGCAGGCTTCAAAACCGGGCTGAGTCAAGCTCACTCATGTCATTGTGGGGGATTCAGAATCATTTAGGTCTTATTTGCAGGAGCCTGGAATTTGTGCAATCTCAGAGTTGAAAGGAAAGTGCCCCACCAGCATTCTCAGGCCCCGGTGATCTCAGCCTGGTGCCTCTGCTAGAGCCAGTGCAGGTATGAGGTGCTCACACTCATGCAAAGCTGTCCTCTGGCAAGTGAGAAGTGGTTATGGCTTAACCTTACCAAGAATCATGCTGCGTCTAAAGCTTTACCCTAACAGCTAATGAGCTAGCCTGCTACTATTTCATGGATGGTGGCAGAAGACAGGAGTCTCTTGGAGTAGAGACGAAGGACTTTATTACAACAAAAGCAGTAGCAAAGCTTCATGGTGATTTGAGTCAGTTCCCTACCAAAGGCCATGATAGATGCTTGCATGGGCAGTGAGTTGCAGGACCAAAGGGCAACAGTGAGCTTGGAAGCGTTCACAATTTTATAGGCAGAAGCCAGCTGTCTGTCCAAAGAAAGATGCCACCTCATCCCTCAAGGCTGCCCACTGCAACACAGCCCTGAGAAATGGCCTGGGTGAAGCCCAGCCAGCTGGAACACAGAGACACTCAGGGCCCTGAAGACTGCCTCTCCCACACACTCTAGAGTCAGAGAGCTCTAGGTTTGAAACCCTGTCATTACTCCTATTAGCTGAATAGCCCCAGGCAAGTTAGTGGGTCATGTGAACCCCAGTCTGCCATTGTATTATTATAACACTGAGGTTGTTAACGATGGCAGGGTCCCTGCCTACAGCACAGGTAACAAACCCCTAAGACAACTAACTGCAGGGGTCCTCTGAGATTAAGGACAGGCCAAGAAGAGTCTAGGTTAGAAAAAGGTCTTTTTCTGCCATTTGGAATAGCTGATACTCTCTCCCTGCTTCAATGTACCAAGCAAGATGCAGACCCACAGCAGTATGGCATAGTTTAAAATCATTATTGCTCTAAGTAATAAAAGCTATTATTACTATGCATGCGCGCACACACCCACTCCATTTTCTCTTCACAATGATCCTGGTGCTGGTGTTAACACCACTGTAGACGAGGAGGCTGAGGCCTGGAGAAGTTATTCGCTTACGGTCTTTCCACTGCACCAGCAGGTGCATCTCTATGAACTGGCCCCAAGAGGGACATCCCAGCTGCAGCTGCTGCCTGCCCAAGCCCCTGATATTTTATGTGGCTCCTCTAACACCATGGTCCTCAAACTTTAAAAAGCATCATAACCCCTCAAAGGGCTCATCAAAGCACAGATCCCCAGGCCCCACACCCATTGTTTCTGATGCAAGAGGTCAGGGTGGGGACTGAGAACAATCATTTCTAACAAATTTCCAAATGATGCCAATGCTGCCAGTGTGGGGACCCCACTTTGGGAACCTCTACTCTGCAGCCAGGAGACCACTGGTGCCACCACATTGCACCATGGTATGTGAAACTGTGTGACCACTCCCAGGAGTGGCCCCAAAGCCCTGGGAGAAGTTTCAACAGGAAGCCCTGGCCTCCTCCCTGGGGCTAAGGACAGAAATGCCCCTAAATGCCCTTCTTCCCACAGAATTCTCCAATATCTCTTTGACAACACCTGGCTGGACAGCCTGACTAGAGCCATGTTTGTGGAGTTCACTGTCTACAATGTCAACGTCAACCTGTTCTGCATCATCACTCTGACCCTAGAGACCAGCGTCCTGGGTGAGCACCTGCCTGTGAACCCACCTGCAGAGTTCCGGAAGATAAACCCCTTTTCCCTCCCTCTGGGCTAGGGCCTAGCTGTCCTAGTGTTGGAGCTCCAGAGCAAATGGTGGTTTGGGAAATTCAGGGAGGGGGTCTTGGTTCTCCCCGGCCACCCACAGGCAAAGCTTCAGAGTTGCTCCACTCCCCCACCCCGCCCCTTCTCTTGCCATGTCTCCCAAGTTGTCCTAAGAGAACCCGGTTGGGGTCTGAAAGTGGTTCACATCCCTGAGCTTCCTACTCTACTAGTGGTGGGAACTGGCAGTGAGGGGCTAGTAAGGGGGTGATCTGGTAACAACAGATTGTACCAAAGCAATAGATCATTCCTCAATCTATAGTATGAAGTATATTTTACATCATAATTCAACACACAAACCTACACACCTAGGACAGAAGCTTTAAAAATATTTCCTTTAGCTACTTGATACATGGATATTTTTACATCCTATTCTATTCTTTTTCCCCATTCCCCCACCTTTCACTCTCTTTTAATGTTAATAACAATTTATTGAAAACTCTGATGAAAGGTCTCTTCAGCTAATAATCAATTTGCCTAAAACTCAATCACATCTCCTTTAAAAGTTAAACATTTTCAAAATATATATTACTTTTATTTGAAAAAATTGAATTAAACAGGGGAGGAAGAAGAGGGAGAGAAAATATTATTCTTTACCGCCACTAATGTTTGTAGTTTTGTAAAAATGTCAGAACTATGAAAAGGTCTTCCATTATCATTATTATATCACTTTGCATTATCATTCCCCATTGTCAAAAATTCCTTTCTAATTCTTTTCAGGAGCTTATCTGTATCTCTTGTTTTCCTCTCTCTCTCTTTTTTTTTTTTTTTGTCATCTTTTTGGCTTTTTAAGGACTGCTTACACAACTGTCCCCAAACATACCTGATTCCATTATGTGTTTCCACAAATATAAAGTATGGGACAGGTTTCGGGTCTGGTTGATTCAGCATCCACTGAGGTCAGGAAGGACTCAGGTTGTTTGCCTCTCTCCGTTCTGCCATTCTTGGGGTTGGCTTTGTTTTTGTAGGAAGTAGCCTTATTAATCAGATTGTTTTTAATCATTAATAAAAAGTCATTTTAATACAAAATAAGAAAAAACACACAAATGGATGAAAGATGATTCAAAAGATGAGTGAAGTTTAGGCATATTTGTCAATAGATGAATGGATCCTCGGTGAACAGTCTTTAGATGAAATGGCTTTATATGAGCCAGTCTGAAGTAAACTGATGTTAAGTGGGTGAGTGTGCTTTGGTTGGAGGTGACTGAGTGAACAACTGGCAAGCGCCAAATGCAGAGGGAAGGCGGCAGGTTTTCCACTGCTGCTATCTTTGTCCCTTCTGATCTGTCCATTACCTTTGACATCCATTAATAGTCCTCATTCAGTCACTTGGGTCTGTGGGTCTGAAGGACCTTTAATTTCTCTGTTGGCCCTGGCCAGCCTCCAGAAGGGCTTGAGCTTGAACCATCCACCAATGACTTCTGTTTAGAGGCGGTGACTCTGAATGGGAAATCATGGAGTGGGGGAACGGGACAGGGTGGGGGTGGTGGTCAAAGAAATGCACTCTGCTTCCCAGGAACCTTTTTTGCACACTCGGACCTGTGGAGCCTGCACCTGTATCCCTTCACTGATGGCTGGCATCCCTTTGTGGTGGCGGCAGAGGTCATCTACTTCCTGTTCCTCCTCTACTACATGATTGTGCAGGTGAGGAGTGGACAGTAGTTCTGTGGGCAAGGGATGGAGATGGCACCTTGCCTATTCTCTCTCCCTCCTCTACACTCTTCCCTGGGGTGAGGTCTGAAGGAAGGGGAGAAAAATGTTCTGCTTACCTGTTTGTCATGGCAACCTTTGGGGGCCCTTCTGCTGGTTCTAAGGGCTGGTCCTGAGGGCTGGACCATCTCAAAGGAACTGAGGACTCAGAGGGTGGTCCTTCCTGGATGGGGAAGGAAGAGGAGTAAAGCTCCTATTTTTCCTGAACTGTGACCTTCCAAAAATGCTGGAGGTGGAGATTCTCCATAGCTGGGGGTTCTCTGAACTTAGATTGGGTGGGAGGGTTCTAAGTACTTTTGCTCTCACTATGGTCCCTGAGAATTAGGACACATCCCCCTTGCTACCTTTTCCACTATGTTGCACAATGACGGTGCAGATGTTTATATGATGGTGGTCTGAGGATGCTGCAAACACACCCAAAGCATACTAGACGTTCTTTTCCAAAAATGGAAACACATACCTAAAAGGGGCATCTTAGCCACCTGCCCCTATTCCCGGCTCCAACAACCACAGCAACCACTTTCAAGTAAGATAGTTTGGAGGCTTACTATGAGGCAGGCATTGTGCTAAGAACCTTATGTGGATTTTCTCCTTTAGCAACGCCAGGAGAAAAGTCCTTTTGGATCCATTTCAGAGTAGGAAGCTAAGTCCAGAGATGTGAAGTAATTTATCCAAGGTCAGAACTGAATCCTGAGAGTAGATCTGGAAACTAACATCAGCCTCAGACACTGACAACACGGTCTCGAGCATCCAATTCAAACCCAACAGCCAACAGTTATCAAATAGCAACTTCAGTACTAGAATTTCTCTAAGAACATCAAAGGAGGCCCATTCACCACCTCTCTGAGCTTCATTCCTCTCCTCTAGATTGCCCTTACACTCTACTCTGCCTGCAGCTGTTTCAGAAGCCTCTCTCCAAAACCCCTAAATCTTTCTCAAAATGCTGTGAGCAGTTTAAAAAAAATTTCCCCTCGCTCCATCCCTTCAGAATGGAGGCAAATTTAGCCTCTTATCAGGCAAATACTAGTCCTTCCTCTGTAGAAGTAGGACTGGGAGGGAAATGGACAGACAATAGCAGATTCTCTTGAGTGGAAAGAAGGAATGGGAGGGAGGCGGACCACAAGCACAGGATTATTCTTTTTGACCTGTGACGCCTGGGGAAACAGCATTGGAAACAAAGCCTCCTGCCAATCCAGGAAACCTCTCCACAAAAGTAGAAAAAAATTACTTAAACTTATTTATTTTAAACTGTTTTCTATTTACAAGTTGTATGTAACATACAATTTACCATTTTAGCCATTTTAAATGTGCAGTTCAGTGGTATTAAGTACATTCACATCATTGTGTAAGTATCACCTCATTCATCTCTGGAACTTTTCTTCTCTTGCAAAACTGAAATCCTACCCATTCAGGAATACTGCTAACCTCTTCCCTAAGAAAACAACCTTTAATATTGAAAAAGCATTAGACCAGCATGTGATATGCAACCCAGGAAAAGATCTCACCCTTGAATATCACCACGCCGATACAATCATTACATACATATGCATCCTTAAAATAACGGTGAAAGGGTCAGGCCAGTCTCCCAACCTGCTGGACTGCCCATGACTCAGTTATCCCAACTCAATTCATAGCCTGAGGCTTAGTCGAAACTCTCTGCCACCTTGCACAATAGACCTCTGACGCCAGCCATGATGGTCAGTGGTCAGACTGACCTTCCTGTACCTGAGAACAGCCTGGGCCCTTTACCTAACCCATTGTCCTGGCTCACATCTTGAAACCCTGAGGCAACTGCCCAAAAGAACAAGAGAGTAACCCCTCCCCTAACCCCCCACAAACCCTACACTTTTTCTTCTAAAAACCCCATTCTTGCCTCCCCCACCCTTGGGGCTGCAGTCTGTCCAGACTCATCCCACCTATAAGTGTAGCATCAAATAAAGGCACTTGGAGTTCTACTTCCGCCAAGATGGAGGCATAGGTGGATGTGCCGTGCCTTCTCACGCAACCAACTTTAGAGACAACTCAATATTAGGAACAGAAAACACAGCCAGAACACAGAAAATTGAACTTTTCAGAAGTCTGTTAACAACAAATTCTTCAGCCTGACCGGTAAGGGGCGAAACCAGCAGCTGGTGGAGCGGGGTTGCACAGGAAAACTCGGTCAGACGGACTCAGGCGCGCGGAATCCAGGCGCAGGGTTGGACCTGGTGGGCAACTCAGCGAGCGACCGCGGGGAAACAGCAAGGGAGCAGGGCTGTGGGTTGACTGTGGTCGGGCATTTGTGCGCGGATAGACAAGCAAGGGAGTGGGCGACTGGACCGGGACTCAGCGGTCCCTGCGGCAAGCGGCAGTGGAGGGCGCCGCCATTTCCCTGCTCTGACCCCACCTCCACATACAGCGTCATAACCCAGCGACTCTGAGTGGCCTGGCCCAGGTGAATCACCTAACGCGCTGCTCCTCACCCAGCAGCGAGAAACAGCAGAGGGGGCCGCCATTTCCCCGCTCTGACCACGCCCCCACATACAGCATCACAACCCAGTAACCTGGGAGTCCAAGGCGCCGCTCCTCACACTTAAAGGGCGCGAACAGACCAAAAATGGCTCAAGAAGATCTCAAAGCCCCAGAGCCTATAAATCTAAGCAATGAAGAAATAGCAAAACCCTCAGACGCACAGTTTAAAACACTGGTCATCAGGATCCTCACAGAACTGGTTGATTATAGCCACAAATTAGACAAATATATGAAGGCGAAACTAATTGAAATGAATGGAATTGCACAGGACACCAATAGCGATGAAAAGGAAACTGGGACTCAAATCAATGGAGTGGACCAGAAGAAAGCAAATAATGGCCAAACAGAAAAGAGCGAAGAAGCAAGAATTCAAAAAAATGAGGAGAGTCTTAGGAACCTCCAGGACATCTTTAAACACTCCAACATCCGAATTATAGGGGTACCAGAAGGGGGAAAGGCACAGCCACCAGTGGAACACTTATTTGAACAAATAATAAAGGAGAATTTCCCCAATCTGGCAAAGGAAATAGACTTCCAGGAAATCCAGGAAGCTCAGAGAGTCCCAAAGAAGTTGGACCCAAGAAGGAACACACCAAGGCACATCATAATTACATTAGCCAAGATTAAAATGAAGGACAGAATCCTAGAAGCAGCAAGAGCTAAGGGGACAGTCACCTACAAAGGAGTTCCCATCAGACTGTCAGCGGATTTCTCAAAAGAGACCTTACAGGCAAGAAGGGGCTGGAAAGAGGTATTCCAAGTCATGAAATCCAAAGACCTACAACCAACATTGCTCTATCCAGCAAAACTTTCATTTAGAAGGGAAGGACAGATAAAGTGCTTCTCAGATAAGATCAAATTCAAGGAGTTCATCATCACCAAGCCCTTATTATATGAAATGTTAAAGGGACTTATCTAAGAAAAAGAAGATAAAAAAGATGAACAGTGAAAGGACAGCAAACTCACAGTTATTAACAACCGCACCTAAAACAAAAGCAAACTAAAAGGACAGCTAGATCAGGAGTGGAAACATAGAAATGAAGATCTCAAGGAGGGTTAGCACCAGGGGAGTGGGAGGAGGAGAAGGGGGGAGAAGGTACAGAAAATAAGGAGCATAAATGGTAGGTAGAAAATAGATGGGGGGGCAAGAATAGTATGGGAAATATAGAATCTAAAAAACTTGAGACACATGGTCATAAACTAAAGGGGGGGTAATGGGGACAGGGAGGTAGGGTGGAAGGGAATGAAGGGGGGAATAGAACAACTGTAATGGCATAATCAATAAAAAAAATAAATTAAACAAATAAAGGCACTTGGATCAGATCATCTGGTTCCTCCCACCTCTATCTCTCATGCATTTCTAACAAAAGGCTAATTAATCCTTATGAAGTATTACAGCACCATTTGTTCTGCTAGCCCATCCTGAACTCACCTGGTTATTGGGGTGGCCACCTGAGTTTGCTAATTGCCTATGAAAAGGAAAAGTAAACTTCACCTATGTTTGTAACAGGAGGTACTTTTGTGACTGGGAGCCAGGTACTTGCTCTAAGCTGGGCTCCTACGCTCTCAAGGAAGGCAGGAGGTGGGGGTGCTATCTTCCTTGATGATTACATTTCAAAGAGATGGCTTCCAGTCCTTGAGAAAAACAGTCCTGAGTTGTAAAACTGACAAGAGGCTTGTTTAGCTTTTAAATAAATTTACATATATGTAGGGGACCGGTTTGTCTTGGCCTGGCAAACGTGACTCAGCTCTGTATGGAAAACCTACAGATATGAAGTGGTGGGCAGGAGCCAGATCTTCAAACCGAGTTTTCCCGTAGGAATCAGGCCTAGAAAATACTTACAGACTGTTATGGCTTGCTCTTGCTAAAACCCCCTTCACCCCGGTCTAAAGCAACAGATGTATATTGTTTATCCTCAAGGTAACTCCCAAAACCCGTGTGAGCTCTCCCAAGGACAGAGCTAATGATCTCATTGCCATCCCCCTCTACATGCTATTTCTATTTCCTTGATTGTACCTAGAATGTAGACAATAATATTCTATGTGATAGATAATAAATCTTCCTATGATGTAAGACCCAAGGAAGACAATAAAAGCCTGTCTAGGCAGGGGTCGGGGCGCTCCCCTCTTGAGGGAGTGGCCGAGGCACCATAGGCACTCTCCCCTTGAGAGAGTAGTCGTGCCTGTTCCCTTTTTCCACACAGGGTTGTTGTTGCCTGTGCATTGATTCTCGTTGTATACCACAACAGGCGGACTCTGCTGGCCAGGGTCTGCAACACATATATCTCAAAGAGACAGAGAAAGAATTCACAATTACAAGTCTTTTTTAGTAAATGCTCTATGGTGGAAGGAACATCTTTTCCCTCCCCCCCCCTTTTTTTTGTATCACAGAGAATTAAATGTCTGTCTTATTAGATACTGGAAATCCTACAGCTCCAATTAATAGGGTCTGGGCATATGTTAGGGAGAGGCCCCGAGCTCTCTGCATGTGGGGCCAAGACCTTGAGAAATCTCCAAGGATCCAAAAAACCCCTCCCAGAGTGTCATTCTGGGTAGTGCACAAAGCTACCCTGGGGGTGAAGGCAGGGGACAGCACAGTTCTGGCCACAGCCTTTGGTAGAACCTATGGATCCTTTTGCAGGGCAAGCTCATGAAGTAGTGCTATTTCCACAGCAAGTGGAACCTTCTGGGCCTGGCCATCATCCTGGCCAGCTGGAGTGCCCTGGTGGTGTTTGTGAAGAGGGCCATCCTAGCAGAGTGAGACATACAATGGTACCGCAAGCACAAGGAGTAAGTGGCTCTGCCTCAGCCCCAGGTCACAGCACTGGCCCTGCTTCCTCCAGCTCTGTGTGGCTCAGGGGTCAAAGAAGGCTTCTGAAATCTTGTTGACCCTCAGAGGAGGAAGGGTCACTAGAAAAAATAACTATAGCTATCATTTAGATTCAGGCTTGTGGTCTGAAGCATATGCAATTGGAGAGTACTCTAAGTCAAAATAGAACAGTACCTTTTGCAAATCTTACCAAAACAAAGGATCGAGGGACACTCTGTTAAGGTCCCTGCCAGCCTTTTGGGCAGGGTTTTTGCAAGTATTAGTACTGTCAACCTGTTTCTGCTACCATTTACCAAGTGTCCATTCTAGGCAGGATGCCCTAACCAAGCAGGTCCTCATGAATGTTGATGGAGGTAAATGTTTTTACCCCGTTTTACAAATAAAGAACTTGAGGCTCAGAGTGGTCATGTGACTTCCCCAAGGCCACACAGCTAAAAAGTGGCAGAGATGTAATTTAAACCTAGCCTGTGTGTCTCCAGGATCCCAGTTCTTACTTTGAACCACTGTTTCTTGACTCATTGATTCTACAGATATAGGGAGTTATCTCTATGCTGTACATAGTCATATAGACACCGCTTTGGGGTGACTAGATGCCACTTCCTCCTGTCTGAGTGAATGTCCCCCACTGCCCTTACATTTGAAGGGGATGGAAATACCATCTAGTTGCTGTGCTAAGTGAGGGCCTAACAAACTTTAACTGCATTGTGTCATCTGACTTTGAAAACCACTGGATGGGGAAGTCTACTATCTCCATTTTACAGATAAGGACAGAGTGTTGGCCCAAGGTCACAGAGCTAGTGACAGAGTGGCATAACTGGTGGTGGGAGAATGACAGTTGGAATCCGGGTTCTTCCCCATCCCACCCTGCCCTTCATTCCCCTCTCATGCCTCTGTACTCTAAATTCATTCCTAATGCTGGTGTGTCATTAAAAATGGCATAGGTCTATATCTAATGATATGGGAGGGAAGATTATAGAACAAAATTATATGATCGCAAATTTGTAAAAACATTTCATATTCATATATAATTCCCTACTGAAAGCTATTCTTTTACCTAATCTCCTACCTTCAAGAATCTTTCTGCCTCGGCTAGTGTGGTTCAGTTGGTTAGAACATTGTTCTGTAGACCAGAAGGTCATGGGTTCAATTCCTGGTCAGAGCGCATACCCAGGTTGTGGGTTTGATCCCTGGTCAGGGTACATACAAGAAAGCAACCAAATAATGTTTCTCTCTCACACCAATATTTCTTTCTCTCTTTCTCTCTCTCTCACCCCCTTTCCTTCCTCTCTCACTAAAAAAGCAATGAAAAAACATACTTAAGTGAAGATAAAAAGATAAAAACAAAAAAATTTTTAAAGAATCTTCCTTTTTTTTAACAGACTGGGGCTGCTGGAAAAGATGGTGCTTCCTCCTTTGGCTTCTGCCACACCTTTTCCCTGCCTCTTTTAAAATATCCAACCTTCTTTCATGTCATTTCATTGTTCATATATGTAGAAGTAATAATCATGTAAGCCCTCCTTTATGATGGTGATTGGCACAGTCCTCTTGGGCCTGGGAGGACTCCTCCTCTGTCATTCTTCCATAGCTCTATAGCCATTAAACAAGACTGCTAGCTAATGGCCCCATGGACTAACCGCTGCGGCCCCATGACCACCATCACCACCATCATCCCTATCATAACCATCATCCTCACCATCACCATGATCACCATCTCATCATCGCCTAGCTGGGGGGACTGGGACAGCCGTCTCTCCCAGACCGGTTGCAGGACGTGATGACCTCTGACATAAACCGTCTAATCCTACATACCAGGCTGCACTGAGTCCAGACAAACACTGGTGAAGTTGTTCACACTGTCTGAGACCCAGTCTCCCCTCTTGGTCTCAAAGGGGGATCAGTTTCAGTGAGACAGCAGCAGCTGGTGACCTTGGTTACATCATTGCCTTCCTGGTACTGCTGTCCACAGTGAAACTCTGGCATCTGCTCAGATTGAACCCCCAAATGAACATGATCACATCAGCTCTGTGCCGTGCCTCGGGGGACGTTTCAGGCTTTGTCATCATCATCCTTATTGTGCTCCTGGCTTACTCCATTGCCGTGAGTGGCTCCTTTGGGAAAACCTCAGGGTGGTTCTCCTTGGAAGCTAAGGCTCCTCAATGTTGGGAGGCTGGGGATTGGGGTTACGAGAACCCTGGACACCTGAGGGAGATGGTGGATCTTCTGAGTCTGGATGCTTTCAGCTGGGAGCTCATGAACTGGTCACTCCAACTGGACACCTCAGTTGGGTAAAAGTGAAGAAGTATTGTCTCAAGACTGAAAGGGTCAACTATCTCCAGCAAAGAATTCCCTTCTGTATCTGGACCCTGCCTGGCTACGCCAGTTCTCCTGCATTCCCAGCACTCAGGCATGCACGGAGCACGCCTTCTGTGTGGGAGGACATCGGGCAGTCCCTGTCCTTGAGCTGGGCAGCGATGGGGAAGTAAGGATGGACATACCGCAGGCATGTCAGTGCTTGATGCGCTCCACATGAGGCATAGCTGACCCCATTTCATTGAGCTCCTTTACACTGACAGCATTTTTTAAATCACATCTTTTGTGTCTGAAACAAAAAACTGAACTACGAACTTTTTTATATCAAGTAACATGAGAAACAAAAACCCTTTGACACATCCCGATCTCCATCTAAATACGCCTCCCATCCTCTCCTATATACTCTTTCTATAACAGTCGAACTTAATATTTGGTTGGAAGCTCCGCTCCTACAAAACCCTCTTTGATGCAGCAGAAACGATGATCAGCCTTCCACCAGGAATCTTCAACTACGAGGAGGTGATGGGGAAAGGTCAGAGGATGTGGACCCTGCCATCTACACCAAGCCTTTACAAAAATTAGAAAAAGTAGTCCCCTCAAATGCCTCCCCACTGGATATCACATGGACCACTTGGGTCCATGGCCTGGCAAGTACAGGGCAACTATGGACAAATAGAAAGGGGCCCCCTTCCTCCAGGCAGAGAGCCCCCTGGGGACCCCAGCTTACAGAAGAACGTCAGGTACTGGCTACTCAGGAGAGGACTGTGCTAAGGGGTCCCGGGAAGGGGATGCTCTTGGCCCTAGCCAGAAATGGTGCCCACATTTGGAAATGGCAGCAGCAAGGGGTGGGGACGCTGTCCTCTCCCTCTCCTGGCAGCCTGAGAGCAATGCCTGCACTGTCAGCAATGCCAGGCAGAAGAGGACTTTTCTGGCCCAAGGCTCTGCCTAACTTTGAGGATCAGTTTTCCCTGTGAGGGTGCCTAGTGGGGGGAGGTAGCCAATAGGAAACAAAACCCCCAGAGATGACTCTGGATTTCTTCCTAACAGGTCCCAGTGCTTGGCTCCCTTCCAATTGGGTCCTGCATTGTTTTCATGACATTTGTTGTGCTGAATCTGTTTATCTCTGTCATCCTGGTGGCCTTTAGTGAAGAGCAAAAATACTATCAGGTGAATTCCTTTGGCCTGTTTTTCAACAGTCACTGAACTTTGAAATAGAAAAAGGCTGGATGAGCAGCATTAGACATTAGGGAAACTTGAGAGGCCATTGTAGCTCAAAGCCTTCATTTCATGGGAGGGGAAACTGAGGCCCCGAAGAAGGAAATTATTTCACCAAGATCACAAGCAAATGAAGATCACGCTAGAATTGGGTCTCCTGAATCCCAGTGTGGGACTCTGTTCATTACACCAGTGCTTTTCAGCTCTGACTGCATGTCAGAATCAGCTGGGGCGTTTGGCAAACTACTACTGCTTCACCTGAGACCCATAAAAACAGAACCTTGGGGTGAATGATGCAAGCATGGATATTTCTGAAATCCCCTGTGTGATTTTAATAGGCAGCCAAGGTTGAGACCCATTAAAAATAATCAAAGATGATAATTTAGGTAATAAAAACTTTAATACTTCATGAAGTGATCAGTCTCCATTCAGAGAACTGCAAAATGGGTGGAAGGCAGGAAGTTTTTATAGGATAAAGAATTTAAAAAAACAAGGGGGAGAAAAGTACAAAACATTGGATTGGCTAGGGCTACAGTCAACCTTGTCTGGGTGAGAAGGAAAAAGAAGAAAGTACAAATAGAGCCCTGAGGTGGCTCGGCATCTGGGGACTGGCTGACCGAATGCACTGGTTTCTGGTCAAGGGGAGCATTTACAAAGACACAGAAGTTATCTAAGTTTCCGTTTGCTGACATGGCACCCTAGGCAGGAGCAGGTCCACTTTGGGCCTAGAAACTTACTTCAACAAGTTACATGGTGACTTTGGTTTAAATTTTGAGAAACTGCCAAACTGTTTTCCCAGGCAGCTACACCATTTCACATTCCCAACAGCAATGCATGAGAGGCTTTGTACGTAAATTCCTACCCACCTCTGATAGGGTGGGGGAGGAATTCTGTCATTTTCATCAGAGGGGAAGGAGGATCCCCCCCTAGTGATAAAGGTGGGGAGCACACACCCTTGGGTTTCCCCGAAGGAGGTAAAAGCAACTCTGATGAGCAAGGTGACTTTGGCAGGGACCAAGTTTCACAACAAAACCATGGTTTCCCCTTTAAAAAGAAAAGCCCAAAGAGGATGTACTGGTATCTGTATCCGTTGTATGGTTCTCTCTCCCTCTGCAGCTGTTGGATGAAGGAGAGGCTGTTGATTTGCTGCTGATGAAAATACTCAGTTTCCTGGGCATTACATGTAAGAGACAGGAGGAGCCTGGAAGCTGCAGCGAGCGGCCTGAGTTGCTGTTAGAAGCCTGGCCCGGTCTATCTGCACCAGCTGCGCTCCAGGTTTAAGCTGTTCATCTCCACTCCATCGTCTGGGGAGTCGGCTGACGGCCAGAGCCTCGGGCCTACACTTAACCAGTGATTCCGCACTCTCTCCAGGTCAGTGCTTTCTGTGCCCGTCGATGTTACCAAGGCTGGCAAGTAAAAAGACTAACGAAACTATGTACATATGTACACGCACAATTGCCACTACTGTGATAGACTGTTTCAAATGTATTCCCTTCTAGAAATAAAACAAATAGCCCGGAGTTCAAAAAAAAATCTCTTCTGCAGACTAATTATTTCACCTTTTTGCTCAGTCAGGGGTTGCCTTTGAAAGATTCTCTAACAGTTCAGGGTTTCTCTAACTGTGTCCGAGAGATGCTAATAGCCTTCCTATTAGTTTGCTAGGGCAGCGAGAACAAAGTATCACAAAACGGGGAACTTAAAACAACAGAAATTTATTGTCTCACAGTTCTGGAGGATAAAAGCTTAAAATAAGGTGTCAACAGGGCTGCGCTCCTCGGAAGGCTCCGCAGAGGAATCTTCTAACTTCCAGTGTTTCCAATAACCCCGTCGTTCCTTGGTTTGTGGATGCACCACTCTAAGATCTGCCTCTGCGGTCGCACGGTTTCCCCTGTGTCTTTCTCTGCCTCTCTTTCCTCTTCTTATAAGGACACTAGTCATATTGGATTAAGGGCTCATTAATTATGCCTCCACCTTAATTAATAGCATGTGCAAGTTCCTATTTCCAGTTTGGTCACATTCTGAGGTACTGGGGGATAGGACTTCAATGTCCTGTAGGGGACACCACTCAACCTGTAACAGGTGTCACGGCCCCCCAAATGGTTTTGGATCAAATAAATGTGGGAAATGCTGGATTATAAAAGGCTGTACAAATTCTTTATCATCAGAATTTTCAGAGCTTTTAACATGCTAAATGTGCACTGTGAATCTCCTGGGACAAGATGAGCATGAGCGACAAAGTATGTAATGATTCCCAAACCTCTTTGAACAGGCACCCCGTACTATAGCCCTCAACGGGGCTAGTGTTCCTTGGATGATACTTCAGGAACTGTCGATCTACACCAGTGGTTCTCAACCTTGGCTGCATGCTAGGATCCCTAGACTTCACCCCTAAATATCAAAGTCTCTGGGCTGGAGCCCAGGCGTCAATACTTTTTTAAGGCCCCCTGGGTGATACTGGTGTGCAGTTAGACTCAACAACCAAGCTCTAAATTCTGAGAACCACAGTTCTAGATAATAAAAGGTTACCGGATGTCTGTGCGGAGAAGTGCGCAGTTCCCCTCACTCATGCCGGGGAAGCACCTCGGACATCCTCTGCGGTTCACCCTCACATACCCATTGTGGAGGATACTCTAGTCTGCCTGCCCTGAATCCATTCTGTGCTTTCCTCCTTGCTATCAGAATCCTGCTGCAGGTAACCATCTACCCTTCCCCCACATACTCCTGGGAAGGTGACCCTCTAACCACCTCATGGGAAAATCTGATTTGTCTTGGTAATGGTAATTCATTTATCTTGACAGTGAGTGGTTTAGTGTGAACCTGCCCCAGTCTGGCCAGTGAAACATGAGAAGTCTGTAGGACACTTTCAGGAAAGGCCTGCTTGCTAATAAAGGGACACAGAGAGATGGGCTCTTATGCTGCTAGACATTGTCTGGTGGTGTGAGCAAGACCCCTGGAACTCTGGCAGCTACCTCGAGACTACAGGGGACAACCTGAAAGTGACAGAGCAGTAAGAAGAAGGGAACGTGCATGTTTGATGAGGTCTTTAAAAGCTGACTGAATCAAGCCTGGAGCTAAACTACTGCCAGCCTTTATCTGGGTGAGAGTTTAAATGTCTTTTTATGATGATCGAATCAGAATCTCACCATGCTACCCTGGCAATCAAAACCTAGGATCCATTATAAACAGAGAGCCACGTAACAAGCAATATACACAAAACCTCAGGAATCTCATTATCTCCTATCCACACAAAAGCCCACAGCCATTCTTCATCATGTCAGGTATGAACGGAAGCTCTATACCCAGAGATGCTCATCAAGCAACCCGTAGCAAGGTATACACATGTCCCAATAAACAGAAACCTACCCACATACAAAACAGTCTGTTTTAAAAAGGAAATCTGGAGCAGTTGTACATTCTTCATTTCTCTTTCTCATCTTTCCCATCTACCCTCCACTTCTGTACCGACTGTGAAGTTAGTTAAACTTCCTGAGCCTCCAGTTCCTCATCTATGAAATGAACTTAATACCCACTGGAAAGGGGTTTGGAAAGGATTGAAGAGAGAATGTTTGCAGAGTTCCAGGCACATAGCAAGGGCTCAAATAATGAGTGTTATTGCCATGGCTGGTGTAGCTCAGTGGATTGAGCACAGGCCTTTGAACCAAAGGGTCATTGGTTCAATTCCCAGTCAGGGTACACGCCTGGGTTGCAGGCCAGGTCCCCAGTGGGGGACACAGGAGAGGCAACCACATGTTGATGTTTCTCTCCCTCTCTTTCTCCTTCCCCTCCCCTCCGTCTAAAAATAAATAAAATATTTAAAAAACGAGTGTTATTTGCTCAGGTGAACATGGAGCAAAACAGCCTTTGCACGGAACCGCACAGATGTGCCAACAACCCCAACTTTATAAATGGGGCAGAAGCTCAGTGCAATTACACATGGGCCTTCCAAACACACACTGCAAGAGGCTTGAAGTGGTTTTCACCCCGTGTTCTTTGCTGACTCATGCCCATTTCATAAAATGTCTTTCCTAGAACTTAATTATTATCTGTCTGCACGAATGAAGACATGTCCTCTGCTTTTTTTCAGGAGACCCTGGTTCAGACCATGCTAGGTCTGAACTCTCCACTTTTCCTTTCCTTTTTTTTTTTGAGATGGAGAAAGATGAAGAAAGTTGGTAGAGAAAGAGAACGATGGAGAGAAACAAGGAGGAGACGCAGAGGAGTACAGGGAGGGAGGGAGAGAGAGAAAGAAGGGGGCGAAGTGAGAGGATGAGGGGGGAGGGAAGAGGGAGAGAAAGGCAGAGGCAGAAGGAGAAGGGGGAAGAGAGAAGAAGACAGTGTGAGGGAGAAGGGGGAGAGAATAAGGAGAGTGAGAGAGAAGGAGAGAGGAAGAGGGAAAGGAGACTGAGAGGGAGAGAGCAGAAGAGAAAGAGTGAGAAGGTAAGGGAGAGAGAGAAGGAGAAAGGTAGCAAAAGGGAAAGTGAGAGGGAGTTAGGGAGAGGCTGAGAGAGTCTGAGAGAGGGGGACAGGGCAGAGAGTGAAGGGAGAAAAGGAAAGAGAGAAAGGGAGAGGAGAGAATGGGAGAGGAAGAGGAAAGGGGAGAGGGTGAGAGAGGGAGAGTGCAAAAGAGGGAGGAGAGGAAGATAATGAGGCAGAGTGAGGGAAGGGGGGAGTAAGAGAGGGAAATGAAGAGGGAGAGAACTGGGGAGAGATGAAGAGAGAGAGAGAAAGAGGGGGAGAGTGAGCAGGGGAGGAGTGGAAAAGAGGGCTAGAGAGACAGCCAGGGAGAGGGGAAGAGAGTAAGAAAAGGAGAGAGATGGAAAGCAAGGGGCAGGGGAAGAGAGAAAGAAGGAGAGGTGGGAGAGGGAAGAGAGGACGAGATGGGGAGAGGGAGCGTGCACGAGAGGGGCGGAGAGGTGGGAGAGGGAAAGAGTAAGAAATAGGCAGAGGGAGAGACAGAAAGGCAGAGGAGACAGAAAGAGAGAAGGAAAGGGGATCAGAGGAAGAAAGGAAGAGAGAGGGAGAGGAAGGAATGGGAGAGGAGGAAGAGGAAGAAAGAGGGAGATGGAGATGAAGGAAGAGATAGAAAGGGAGAGAGAAGGACAGGGTAAGGGAGGAAGAAAAGCAGAGAGAAGAGAAAGTGACCGGAACATGCAGAGAAAGGAAAGGAGAGAGAGAAGGAGATGGAGAGAGGAAGAGGCGGAGGGATACGGACGGGAGAGCAAGAGACGACTGGTGAGACAGGCCGGTAGCCAGAAGTACAACAGGGGAACTGAAAAAGACAGCCAAGCAGTTTACAGCCATTAAGTAAATCGAAAAATCCTATCTCCCCTAACTAAGGGCACTTAAAGAGTAAATGATCTACACTCATCCTCCACAACCAGAGTGTAAATAGCTTAAATCACCCTAATAGGGATAGCAAAAATCCAAGTGCCATTAGTGCCAACCACACCCAAGGACAGATGAAGATAAGGGAATAAATCTCATTTCGGGAAGTCAGCATAAAGCTGATAAATATTCTGCTGAGACCCTCCCCTAAACTCCCAGTCTTCCAAACTCTCAAGGAGGACCCAGGGCATGCTGTCTTTTGGGAGCTGGGCCACGCCTTTCTTTTCTCTCAGGCTTGCATCAGCTAAACTCTAAAGATCCCCCCACAAGATTTGCAGCCAGGAGGGCAGTGAGTAGCAGCTTGTCCTGGGCTAACCCCCAGAACCTGTCTCTAAGGTCTCTTATCTCTGACTTTCCAATGAGCCAAAACAGCCCCGCCGAGGCCCATTTCTTTCCTATAACATTTCTAAAGAGCCAAAGCTCTCTCCTTTTGTTTTTTCGACCCTAAGCCCTCCTTTGTTTCACTGTCCCCAGTACACAAATGTACTCTCAAAATCTCCTGGACTGATCTTGTGAAATCTTTCCCACAAAGTCAACAACCCACACAACCCAGACAGGCGGTTCCTATCAGTAAATAAAAAGAGGGAGGGAGACAAAGGAAAAGAGAGGGAGAGAGGAAGGGAGAGGGGGGGGAGTGACACAGAGATGGAGGGGCAGAGGAGAGAGGGAGAGAAAGAGGGAAGAGGTGAGAAGAGAAAAGAGGGGAAGAGGGAGGGGAGAAGGGAGAGGAGGATGGTGTGGGTGAGGTAGAATTTGAAGAAGAGAAAGAGAGGGAGAAATAGGGAGAAAGAAGACAGACAGGGAGAAGTTAAAGGCAATTGGCTTCTTGGTAGAGACTGGAATTTCCTTCTCCATTTCGGAGAAAGAAAAGGAGAGGAGGAGAGGGAGAAAGAAAG